AAAAAATCGCAATATATAAGTAATAAACTTAAATTACTTGAATGCCTCCATATAAACCGATAGAATTTAGGATGGGTATGGACAACTGGATTGGGCAATAAGACACTTGGGTTGAATCACATTAAAAGATTAAATCCAATCGATTAGTTAGTTCAACTTAAGAGCTTATATACCGATTAATTTCCTCACACTTTTCCGATGTGGGATGGTTCTTTAACATAAACTTTAATATATATTCAAATGAAGAGCTAGTATCTAAAAACATTATAGGACAAGACTGAGATATTTTAGGAATAGGGCAACGGGTTTGAGATTCTTGCACCCCATCTTAATGGCTCAAACAAGTCTCTACTCATAGTTTGGACCGTTAAGTGAAAAAAAGAAGTAAATTCTTACAGCCAGGGTCCTAATGTCAATTTGGGTATTAGGTTAGGAGTAGGTAAATGAAACTAAAATCTCAGTATGGTTAATGGATAGTAAAGTTTCTCTGGGGTATGTGCAAGAACTCGCAATACCCTTTGGCACTCAACATTTCAACCATCTTAGCTACGCTGTCCGGGAGACGACGATGGTTAAGTAAGGTACCACAACTAATGCAACTAGCCCTATACGTAGCTGGGGCCAGAGATAATATACTCCCTCCATCCCGAAAACTTCTTCTCGTTTCTTTTTTTACTTGTCCCACAAAATCATTTTCATTTCTATTAAAAAATCACGTATACCCGTACTATTTCTTATTAACATACATATCACATCATATTTTTTTTACTAACAATCTACACATCACGTCTTATTTTTATCCATCACATCAAAGATACTTTTAGAAAGTCAACGTAAAAATATCTCTCACTTAAATTTTCTAAAAGTGAAAATGGAAACATCTGTTTGGGAGGAAGTATATATGCCATGTAGACTTGCCTGGATCTATAGAGACTCATTTTCACAGCTGGCTACCTCTATTTAATTAAACTCCTCTTTTCGTAACCACTCTTTGAATTATTGGTACGTAGTAAACAAACACACCAGTGGATCTTGTCAAGGTTTAGGTTGTCTTTGGAGAAAATAATATAAAAACAAAAAACAAAAACACATTGGTTGTTGATGGAGCATGATTTGCATGAAAAAAGCATATTGAGTGCTTATATTAGTCGCTGTCTTGGCTGGATGGTGCTTTATAATTATTATTAATATTATAATTATTATTATAAGTACAATAATATAGTTAAGTGTCTTGGCTTTCCACCACATGCATGCTTTAAAAGCTTAATCTACGTTAACATCATCATTATTCTGCAAATTAAACTGCCCTGCAAATGCATATATATGTCATAATATATAATTCAACCTCATAAACCGTATTAATTAATAAGATTTGAAGTACTTAGTCCTCATTGGGACTTAGGAAATGTATTTTATTATTGCTGCTACACAAGGGTTAGTTGTTGTCTCTTTTCTTCAAGGGTTGTTGCTGCTACACACACCCTACCATCCTATATATGCCTGCCTTACTACCTACCCTGTGTTAATTTAGCTGCCATAGTTGAATTTATCACATCTAGAATTATATTGAAGAAGAAAATAACGAGTTTATAAACACTTGAGTTAGTTGAACTAGTTACTGATCAAGTCCAATCTTTTAATGTGATTCTAAGTGTCTTATGACATAATCCAGTGACTCATACTCATCCTAAATTTTATAAAAAATGCTACTCAAAAGAGTACAATTTAGATCGACTAACCCTCGTGATGTTAGTTCTAGTTCCACTGTTGGCATTATTTTTGACAAAAAATAGGTCTTAGATGTTGTAGTTGTCTAGTCATTTTTTGTTTTAGATTGAGCTATAGCATCATGTTCGTCATCATGTTGTTGGAATATGTGACGTGTCATGATACAATATATGTATCAGATAGGGAAGGATCGGATTTCGAGCACCTCAAAGCTCCAAGAACAAATGGATGAGGAGAGAGAGACAGATATAATGTGATGTGTCATGATACAGTATACGTATCAGATAGGGAATAATAATAATAATAATAATAATAATAATAATAATAATCTCGTAACACTCTCTACGTCTCGAAAAGCAACTTGTCCTCGAGTTGGAGATCTAACCAGTGCGAAGAAAAGGTGCGACAAGCCGCCAATCATCGTCCAATAATGACGCTCCCCTGCTCTATCTGGTCATTGGCGATTGTGGTTCCCTAGGGGTTGACTTTGCCCAGGGTTGAAATGCTGAGGGGTGCCCTAGGGCAGGCTTATGGTCGTCAAGATGAGACGCGCGCGAGATTCCAAGACAGGCTCAACCTCGTCTCAGTCAAGCCGTGGGGGCCTAGGCCGAGCGTACTGTATGGCCGAGCTCATCCTTACGGGCCTTAGGGGGTGCAAGCCCATATCTTCGCTGAGGTCGTGCTTATTCCTTATGGGCACTACGGGGGGACGCAAGCCCATATCTCCATCAAGTAATATGGAGAATAAAATATATAATAAATTAATAAATTAAAAATCAAAAATAAATAGATGCTTCCTCCGTCCCTAAATAAACTTTCCTTTTCGTTTTTCTTTGTCCCAAATAAACTTTTCTTTTTCCTTAAAAAACCCCTTTTATCCCTTATTTTTTCATATCCTACCTATCACATCACACCTTTTTACTAATGATCTACCTATCACATCATACATTTTTTCATACCCTACCTATCAAGGGTATTTTTGGAAAGTCAACACAAAAATATCCCTCCCTTAAATCCTCAAAAAGTCAAAAATGGAAGTTTATTTAGGGACGGAGGGAGTAGAAAATAAGTATAAAATATTAATAGAGTAAAAATTCATAATAATAAAAAATTATAATAGCAAAATAAATAAGTAAAAATTAAATATATAATCAGTAAAATAATAATAACTATAATACGTAGTAATAATTATAATAATGCAAAAATAAAAAAATTAAAAACTAAAATAATTAAAAAAAATTCTAGTAATACCTAAAAAATATTTTTAAAAAATTAAAATTTAAAAACAAAAGATAAAAGATATAAAAAATTGAAAATATAACATTTCCTTTTCCTCCCAACGAAACAAGGTGAACGGAATCTTTCTCATCCCTTCTTAATTCCCATTCTCTTCTATCCATTCCTTCCCCTCCCAATCCTTCCAACCAAACGGATCCTTAATGTTTTCGATAACTCATTTTCTATTGAGTCCTCGAGTCCTCAAAATATTTCCTTTTTGACTATGGAGAGAAATAAAATTTCTTGGAAATTGTTTTATCTTAAAATAAGAAAGATGTCACCCACAATAAGAGTAAAATATAGTCTTTGTCCACAAAAAAAGAGTGACATAATTTTTATTCTGAAAATAAGACTTTGCATTGTGACATTGTATATTGACATTGTACTACATTTTTTGTTTTTAAATGTTGACATTATTTACATTGTAAGTTTTATTTTAAAGACAAAGCATGAATATCATGTTTTGGTTCTTTCTCTCTACTTTACTCCTATTTTATTTTAGTCTTTCTCTCAAAAAATAATTTTCTAAATAATATTTCCTTCCACCCAAACAGATCCTTAACCAATCTCTATCTTTCTCTTTCTAAATTGAAATGAACCCTAAAAAACATGCATGAGGGGATGCTTGAGATTCTATAGGCAAACACCAACCAATCCCTATCTATTCTTTGATCATCTATTTATCCTTCATACTCCATTATATAATTAAGTTTATGTTCCCCATCACGACATTATACGGAGTATTATATTAAGGCCCTATACTGTACGAATATAAATTAGGGCCTGATTAACAACAATTTCAACATTTATCTTTACTATTTTGAAAAATGTTATCTAACTAATGTCAACGTTCATTTTTAATACGGAGTATTTTTTTTCAAAAAAAGAATTCATGCTATTAAAAAAATTATCGGAAACGCTAAAGAAACACGGTGCACTATATAGTGGCGGCCCCTCTAAGCCCCCCTGCCCACCAAACATCCATCTTTTTTTATCTCTAAACATTTTTTTTATTTTTTTGCTATTAAGATTCAGGTTTTAAATATTTAATCCTCAGGGAAGGGACTTTGAAGTTACACTTGTCGGGTTGGGTAATAATGCTGCGTTTAATAATTCCGATGGGGACATTTCGTGGGAACTCATATTGGATTATTTGGAATTTGGAAACTTTTTTAAAAAATTAAATTTAAAAAAAACAATTTAAAATTTCTTCACACTTATTTGGGAGTTTGGGTACTTGTACAACCTAAAGTATGCATTTTGTGTGTTATTGCTGGCATCTGTTTTGTCTGTGCTTATCATGTTATAATAACTTAACATTGATTGGACTTGGGTATATATTAAATTGAGTTACATGACATTATTTGGATTGAATGGGATCAATTTGTTAATTATTTTATTATAGTTTACTTATTCTCATTGACTAATTATTCCATCTGTTCTTAACTTTCCTACATGAGATTCGGATACTTCCCTCAAGTGGACTCATTATTTTGAACATATATTGGGCTAATTACTTTATCGCTCTGTTTGGTACACAAAATTTAAGCCGTAGAATTGGAATTAGAAACTTCAATTTCAATTTTGGTGTTTGGAAACACAAAAATATGTAGATTTAAAATTATTAGTGTAAAAAACAATTTGAATTGGAGAATTCAATTCAATCAAATTTAATTTCATAGAATTTCAATTTCAATTTCATCAATTCTATATACGAAATGAAATCTACGTGTAATTGAAAGAAGCACAGACAATTTAACGAACCGTTTTGCTTTATTCAAACATACTGGAAGGCCAATATCCCTTAAGATTCAAAATGAAAATGGAACATATACAAACATGGAAAATAGAAAGTCAAGAGTACCCAATTCAATGAGAGTTTATCATGAAGAAGTGGTGAGGGATGCAATAATTTGCAAGTAAATTTCCCAATTAGGGCATGTTTCATCAATGGCTCTTTGCCCAAATGGGTGATCCTCAACATATTTCCTCACATCTTCATCTTCATCCACTACCGCTAGTCCTTCTAAATAAACTCGAAGATCACCTCCGGGACCTGAGATGATCAATACAAAAAACAATTATGAAAAACTTTGATACTATCTCTGTCTTTGAGCATTTATCTAATTTTGACTTTTTGCAATCAATAATTTTTGACCTTTGACCAATAAATAAATAAAATTTATAATGTATATGTTGGACTAGATAAAACAATATTTTGTAAATACTTTATAAAACAAATCTAATACTAATATTTTTGTATTCATATCAATTTTATTTAATTAGTGGTCAAAATCTATCAATTTGACTGCAAAAAATCAAAATGAACAAATACTCAAGAGCAGAGGTAATATAGGTCTGAGTTAGAAGGCAATTAGGTTACCTAATGAGTTGTCATTCATGATTGTGGAGTCATAGGAACGAGGAAAGATTGCAGAGTGAGCCTATGGACAATATCAAAAACCATTTTTTTCTTTAGTATTTGCATCTTCTAAAATACGAACTCCTATCTTCAGTTTTTTACTCATTCTAAAAACTACTTCTATCTCAGCTAAAATATCATAAAATCTCCCAAAACAACTTCTATCTGCAATAAAGCAGAAATGTGGTATTTTAGATATTTTTATGTGGATTAGAATTGTTTTGTAGAATGCACAAAAAATGAAGGTAGAAATATTTGTTAGAAGCGGAGGGAGTATAAATTTAATACTCTGTTTGTTTCAAAAGAAAAAATGAATCATTCATACTTGTATACTTACAGGATTGAGCAAGGATTTGTATGGTGAATCATCAACTAACAATGTGTTTGATTCATTGTAGTATCCATTAAGCAACCAAGGTTCACCATTGATTATGAATTCATTTCTCCATACCTTCTTCAATTCTTTACAAACCAATTGCTTGTACTTATTTTCTGGAATCATAAACCCTGTCTTGGTGCAATAACTCTTATCCTGCAATAGTTTTTATTGTCAAACAATTAATCGTACTGAGAAAAATGTCGTATCCTCTCTTCTTTCCATATTAACTGACCATTATGACATTTTAGAAACATTGAAAATTAAATGAATGTGGGCGTAAAATATGCCTACATTCATTCACTGTTCAATGTATCTAAAAAACCACATTGATTAGTGAATATGGATTATATTTGAGAGACTACTTATGAAGTTAGGTTAGGTTTTATAATATGTATAGAATAACGAAAGGAAAATTACCTAAATAGTAGTAAAACATAGTGATTTTTTCAATGTAGTATCATATGTTTTTATTTCCCGATGTAGCACTAGTCATCATTGTTTACTAGTCATTATTGTTCATATAAATATCTACCGCCTAGCCATTGTTCAAAATAAATGTCCGATATCACTGAACATTGTTCCCATCACTATACATTATTCAAGTACTATTTCGAGAATAAAAAAGTTTAAATACTACATTAAGAAAATAACATGTGTTTTAGTACGGAGTACTATTTAGTGCAAATTTCAAATGATGAAATACTAAATTAGAACATAATTACGTACCCAGCAGAATATTAACCTTTTCTTCTCATCTCCCAATAAATCATCAACAGTGTTGTCTAAATATTTCCTGCATGCACACATGCATATACTATGCAATTAATCAATTCTTAATTAATTACGAGTATTTTTTTTCAAGTTTTTATGGAGTTTTTTTATATAATGCATACTTTGGTGCAGATGACCAGATGCCAACATCAAAATTCTCCAGGCAGAATTGCAAAAAATCCTCACAGAATGGCCTCTTTTTAGTTTCTGCATATTATTAATATTAATTGCACCATGAAAATTTGAGATAAGGAATCTTTGCAATGGGACAAAAAACCTAGACTAATTGTTTTGTGGAATGGGATTGAGCTAAATAATTAGCCTAACAACAATTAGAAATGTTTGATTAATTTTTTTTGGAGATCTCTTTGGTCACAAACATGTTTGATTAACATTTGACACAAAAAAACATAGGTTAGCTAACATTTTTCCAAAACAACTTGGACAAACATTTATCCTAACGAGTGAAATACGGAGTAGCTAACACACAAAGCTAATAAAATGGGCCGGCCCAAAAGATTGGATCCTATGCGATTATAAACTTTTGGGGCATTAGTTTCATATTAATGCAATTAATTAAGGGTAAAAAAGCTAAGAATACACCAAGTTTGTACCTCAATTTTCATACAAGTACTTCATCCGTCCCTAAATAAACTTCCCTTTTTTTACTTTTTGAGGATTTAAGGGAGAGTTATTTTTGTGTTGACTTTCCAAAAATACCCTTGATGTGATGTATAAAAGTAAGATATGATATGTAGATTATTAGTAAAAAAGTATGATGTGATTGGTAGGATATGAAAAAGTAAGGGGTAAAAGGGGTTTTTTAAGGGAAAAAAGAAGTTTATTTAGGGACAAAGAAAAAACGAAAGAGGAAGTTTATTTTAGGACGAAGGGAGTATATCATATACATACATAGAAAATAATTGTATGCGAGATGCACAAATAATTATTGTCTATGTGTCTGTGATACACTTGGTGTGCAAGTCGGGGTACAAACTTGGTGTACTTCTAGCACACCTCTTAATTGAAATATAATCCCCCATAAGAAATACGCTCTCCTTCGCTGAATATTTGTCCATTTTTTACTTTTTTTATCAAAATTGGCAAACTTTAATCACAAATTGAACAAAAGTTATACTCCCTTCGTTCCTAAATAAACTTCTACTTTCCTTTTTTTGTTTGTCCCCCAATAAACTTCTCTTTTCCTTTAAAAAACTCCTTTTACCCCTTACTTTTTCATACCCTACCTATCACATCATACCTTTTTACTAATAATCTACCTATCATATCTTACTTTTACACATCACATCAAGGATATTTTTGGAAATTCAACACCAAAATATCTCTCCCTTAAATCCTCAAAATGTGAAAGTTTATTTAGGGTCGGAGGGAGTATTAGATATTGATCCAAAAATAACTTTATTAGATCTATTATATAAAATATTTTCAAAATAAAATTTTATCTAATTAATATATAATGTATATTATTTAATTATAGATCAAATATTGAAATTAGTTGACTGCAAAGACTCAAAATTGGACAAATACTCATACACGAGGTGGTATATAGTTTTATCACCAAAAAAGAAATATATGATTTTTTTCCCACATAAATCAACGAACCTGCACATTTTTATTGTTTTATATCAATCTTTTCGAATTATTAATAAGCATAAAAATACTTATTAGGACATTTGCTCTAAAATTTAAAATTTATCCTAAATGTGAAAAGTTATTGCCAACTCTACCCCTCATCATTTCGCTACATCCACCTCATTTATATTTAAGAAAACATGTTTACCCTTAAATATTTATAAAAGAAAAAAAAGTGATGGGAAAAAATATCCATTTATTATTCATAAATAGAGGCGAAGGGCAAAATTGTCCAATGCGAAAATCACTGCTTATTTTAAAATCCTGACTTTTTCTTAGTGTTGGTCTAGGAATGTAGGAATTAGGATGAGCTTCAAGGTTTGAGTTTGGGCTTCATAAATTGGGCTCGTATACTTTTTTTATAGCCCAATGCAAGTAAATAAAGAAACCATATCTGGGCCGGCACAGCGAATACAAGCAACTCATGCTTAATCGTTGGGGTTGGGCTGGCACATGTACTCCGTTTGCAAAAAAAAGGCAAAATAGACTTGGAAAATGTTTGGTTCACAAACAAAATTGTCACAAATTTATTATTTATGAACTTCAATAAATAAAATAAAAAATTCTAAACTAATTTTAAAATGAAAATTTAAACCATAAATAATAGGTTTGTGAAGTTTGTGAGTATCCTGTTTGTGAACGTAGCATTGCTCAATAGACTTTAATTTTGGGACGAAGAGTGTGTATTAAATACTCCTCTCAGTCCTCTGTCCCAAAGTAAAGTTCATATTCGATTTATGATATTTGACTGAAAATATTTTCAAATCAATATAAGTAAAAACTAGTGTAGATTTAAAAAAAAATAAAATTTATATATTATAAAATTATATCAAGAGTTGTACAAAACAAGTGGTGAGAATGTTATTTTATTTAGTAAATGATTGATGCAATTCATAAAGAAAGTATAGTTAAACTGACATGCGAATTGTAACTAAAAATTTTATTTTGGGACGAAAGAAGTATGGAATAGGTCTTATAATACGTACATAGGTCAAGGTTGGTCCAGAGCTTAGTATTATGGAGTACTCTATAATATTTGCATCCTAGGTGTAATTGTCTGTGTGTGTTTATGAGAAATCCGGTGTACACCAGCTTGGATACACCTAACACACCTCTATTTAAGTTGATTCTTTGTTCCAAAAAGATTTGGATTTAGGTCTTAGGTCTACTCTTAGGTGCATAACTTCATTCCCAGTTCTACTTAATTTAATTGTCTTGATAGTTTTAAAAAAGGGAATTGATAGCATAGTTTTAAAAAAATCGGATCGGACCGATCGGTTCATACCATGAACCGGTGGTCCTACCGGTCCGGTCCTACCCTTTGGATAGCAATTACCTTCAAACTAATTTGAACCGGTAAGAACCGTCCGCACCATTTTTTTTGTGATTTTTTTTCAAAAGCATACTACCATGGGCATTTGAACCCGAAATTAATTAGACACTTATTTATTTAAATATTTATTTATATAATTTTTAAAAAATGCTTTAATCACCGGTACCTCGACCGGTTTGGTCACCGATCCGGTTCTGAAAACTATGGTGGGTTATAATTTGCAATTTATATTTAGAGGTACGGAGTAAATACTTTGTAGTTGTGACCACTATGAATAGCTAATTAAGCAGATACATACAGGGATAAAAAGGTAATTAAAAATTAGAAGTCTCACCGTAACGACGGCCAGAAACGGTCCTAACGATGTCAATGAGGACGCCATTAACGTCCAGTATCAAAAGCTTGTTATTATTCCTCTTCTTGCTGCCGTCCACCGTAACGGCGGCAACACCCGCTCCTACTCGATCAACTCCACAGCCTCGTCCTTCGTTGTTCCGTGTTTGGCTGTCGTCACCATCTTCTCTTCTAACACTCATATTGTTGACCTTGACCAATGTCCTTACTAATTAAGTGAGTGATTTGGGCTTGTAGTGGTGGGCTGGTGGCTATTTATTGATCAAGTCTTTCCTCATAAGTCCTCCAACACTTTGGTGGGGATTACGCAGTTGGCAAGTCAAGTAGCGTCAAGAAATAAAACTTGAGTTCAATTCTTGGTAATTACACTTGAAGGTAACTACGCTTAACATAGGGCATCTGCTAGTACCAGAGGTGAGCCTATTCAAATTTTGATTGTGAAAAATTAACAGAACGAATAATTTGAGTTTATGATCAAAGTTTTTCTACTCAAATTGTATAACACAAGCTCAATTTATGATGAATTTATTGTTACGTAGTATATTTTTTTAACATGTGTTCTTGAGATTTGAACTTAAATGACTTTCGTTTCTCGTAAATCATATGGACAAGATGTGAGTGTCAAGGGATAAATTTAGGATTAATTCTTTTTCACTTTTCTCTTTGGGCCGTTCAAAAATTTATTTCATCTTTCTTATTTTGGCAACAAAATTATAAAAATTTTCTCTTATACCACTAGTTTTTATCTACACTATTCACTTTATTCAATCATATCAAGTTCAAAATAAAGAAAGTCTTTATAGAGTACTTTTTAATTTTTTTAAATCTCCGCGTCAAGTCAAAACAAAAAAGAAATTGTTGGACAAAAGGATAATATTTTCCAAAAAAATCAGAAAATAAACCCTACCATTTTCCAAAAAAAAAACAAAAAATAAACTCTTTTGTAGCTTTTTTTACATTAGCCGCTGGGTCCGACTTTTTTTTTTGTTGAGAATGATTTTAGTCGGTTTTAGATTCCCGTCTTTTTTAGGCCAAGTTTTCAAAAAGGAAGTTTGAAATTAGAATGCATTTTATGGTTTTCAACAGGAATAAAAGTAAAACTAGGTAAATATATGAAATTATATTCTCTTTCTTTTTTCCCCAAATTCTATTCTCTTTACGCTTCCTTTATGAGACTCAGACCGTTTGGCATCAGCGTTAGAGATTGACGTTAGCATTTTGAAAAGGATATCCAACGGTAGTCTTTAGCGTTAGCATTATTTGAATTAATTTACACCATTAAAATTTTATCCAAAATGCTAACGCTAATAAAAAACACTCTTCTCAAACAAGACATCAATTATTTAAACTTGTTACAATATAGTCGTAGTACAACCAATTCCAAAAATTTGAGTTATTTGGTTACTATCCACGTGATCAAATTTTAACCATGTTATTTATCTATTATCGCTACTCATTTGATAAAATAATATAGTTGACATCTTGTTTGGCAGAACTTTTAATATAATTTATATATATATAAATTTTATTCTTAATTCCACGCCAATTTTCAAATAAATTGAATTAAAACAACTTCAGTCAAACATTTGAACAACACGATTAGGCATCAAATCAAAAGTCACATATTTTACAAAGACCCAAAATGTATTTAACTCCAATAATTGTCCTCACAACAATAAATACGTAGTAGTTCCAACAAAGTCAAGTTCAAACTAGTCTATCAAATAAAAAATAAAATCAAACACCTATACTGTAAATACAAACCACAATAGACGTACGAATGAAATGCATCTCTTTTTTTTGTAACCATGAACAAGTTCAGTTAATAATAATTCATTGATTCCATGATATTCAACCTTATAGCCCCATAAATACAATGAATACACATACCGTCACGGACGCCAGGACCCTTGAAGCACAGACCGCGAAGGATTATGACTATTTAGCCTTCTTGAGTAGGCTAGACGTTAGGAATTTGGCGTCATCCTTGATGAAACTCCACCATATGTAAGTGAGGGGGACTGTGGTGGCATGCCAAAGTGCATGTGCATCCACAAGCCCTTTATACGGAGGGAAGTCATAGATCTCTAGGAGCATTGCTAGGCCACCACCAACCACGACAAGCCACACCTTCACTCGAGAGGGATGATGGCTTACTCCTGCCCAGATTGCCCAAATGAACAGTTGAGCTACCCCGATCACGACACACACCACCATGTTCCACCCTGAGAGCACATAACGATGAGTCCATTACCCAAAAATATTGATTGAAAGTAACTTGGGCTGATTTTGTTTCCAACGTTTTTGTACGTTCGGTACCAGATAGTATAAATGTTTTGTGGGAAAATGGCGTCTTGTTTTGGAAATGCGACATGCATTTTCATCGAAAATCATTTTTCACATCAAGCTGCATATATTTTAGTAAGAATGAGCATCTCCAACCATCCTACTTTGGCTTGCTAAAAGCCATAATATAGCAAGTCAACCCATTTTTCTCTTTTCCAACGGGTGTGTTAAATTTTAGCAAGCTTGTCAAGAAATGACTTTGGCTTGCTAAATATAACAAGCTCTCCAAATTATAGGAAGTCAAGAGTTGTAGAATGGATTAGCAAGCCATGGTTGGAGAATGGAACAAAATATCACTTGCTATATCACTATTCACTTGTTAAAATATAAAAATGGCAAGCCAATATAGTAAACAAGGTTGGAGATGCTCTTACCGTAGTCCATTTTATAATTGTTAAGGTAAAGTATGTGGGTTGTTACAAAAGCAAGAATCGGGGCTGAAACCATCACTCTGGAAGCCTCATGCCTGATGTTGAAACTTCTCAGTATAGCCAGAATTAGAGAATAGCCAAGCAGGGCAACTGCACATGAGTAGTCTAACTTTTCTGTAACATCAACATCTCTGTCACCCAGAAATTCAATGAAGCAGTGGTTAGCAATATATGGCATATGTATAACGGCCGTATAAAGGGTTTAACGGGAAGAACAAAGAAATTATGAATTAAATTCTAGGATTCCTGCACTGACAAGATCATGGATAAGAGATTACCTACAGTGGAAAACAGCACTCCAAAACCACGAATTCATAGACAGCAGACCATATATGAGCCAAAGGCCAGTATAATCATAATATGATCTCCTGTCTGTTTTAGATAGCACGTTGTACTTTTTTACAAGAATGTAAAAGGACAACAAACCATGGAAATGCATTGCGAGGTTGAGCAGCGAAAGAACAACAGAGGCAGCCTCCTGATACATTCAAGAGATGATGCTTCAAACTTCGGATTGATAAGGGGATATCACTCCAATATGGTGATAAGCTAATAAGCATACAAATCTTACAAACCAAATGACCTGAAGCCCAAAGAGACGTTTGAAAGGCCATTTCCCATGATATTTGACAGGTCCTTGACCAAGTGACGCTCTTTCTTTTTCTCTGTCAGTCATACAGTGATACATGCAATCGTTTTTGCAGTCTAATAGTTTCCATTTCTGATAGAGACCTTTGTGCATGTACCAGGTGGCGCCACTGAAGGCAGAACCATCAGAAAATAATTGGCATTGTGCAAAACATCTTCCCGCAGCACATCCAGTCTTTTTGCATTCTCCCAAACAAGCCCTATTATGGTGGGGAGAATATCAACTGCCTTGTTAAGAGTCCCACAGAGGACAAAGAAATCGAATTGTGTCATGGTTAGCATTCACCCCACCACAACAACAACACACATATTTTCTTTGGGGACACCGAACTGGATGGAGCTAAATGATACGGAGTATTATATTACCTATATGATGGATCAATGTCACCGGCACTAGCATCAAGCATTCCAATCATACACGTGAACACAAAAAAGAGTATATTCCAATAACAACACCTCATCTGTCCACAATAATGTCAAAAATCACAAGTCAGACTAGTTTCTCTTTACTAAATACTCCGTATAAGGGTAACAACTTCTCTAGGAAACTTGGGTTCCACGAAAAGATGTATGGAAAGCAATTAGTAGTCATATCTAGCATAGGTCAAAAGCTCAAAACATGCTTATTAGTCCTTTTTTTGGAGAAACAAAAAACAATGTGGAACTTTTTTTATGGGACAGAGTATAGTGGCACATAAGTACATAACATAACTATCTACCAAGTCTACCCACAAATCAAGATTCAACAAGTTAAATCCCAAAGTTACAATTTCAGACAAGACACATCAATGTTAAAAAATTCAACAACAAGTAAATACAAAAGACACCTTAGGAGATCTAAACATCACATGAACCGTAAGAACAATATAAGTGAATAGGATTTTTCTTTTTTACATGGATAGACTTCTTTTTTCAACGTTTGTGTTATATATGGTTACATTTACAAAAATATGGCTTATGATGTGTGCACATAGTTTCAACAAGAATGGTAGTTTAGATTTTACACTTTTAACTTTGAACTAAAAAACAGTATGAGTTCAATAGCTAGTAAACACAAATATAACAAATACACCTTATCATACAGAAGATACTAAAGAACAACCAACACTAAGGTCAAATCATAGTTATGAATGGCGAGTGGCGGGCGACGGGACCTTTTTTGTGGCAAGAGGCGTGGCGGGCGGTCAAATGGCGAACCAAAAAAAGCGAATTCACACACCCACACACACACACACACACACTTAATGCATGGCATATCAAAAAGTCTTCAATTTTGGTTTTTAAAATTTAGCCAAGTCAACAGTTTCGTCGTCATCCTCAGATTCATCTCCATAACTCATCAAAGCCTCTTCAGGAAACCGTTGTGGTTGAACTTCTTTCTCCGTAACAATAAATAACATTTTAAAAGAAAAAAAAAACATTATTTTTCTAAATCGAAAGAATAATACACAAATTGAAAATATAATGGTAACTATTAGAGTCAAAAATTGTAACTGTTAATATTAATTAATTGAATAAAACACAAATTAAAAAAGTAATTAAGAATAAGATCGGAAGGAGCCACACTGGTTTTGTGTCTGATGCTGCTGCCTGCTGCGCTGACTTGCTGACCAGTAATGGATTGGTGAGTTTTACGAATTCAGTGCACTCCAGAATCCAGATGGTTTCTAATAGCCTTTTTGAAGTTGAATCCCTTACTATTGGCGGAGACGAAACCAAATCAGAAGTGGATGTTCGAATATATATACCTGTGGAGAGGAGCAGTGTTGTGCTGCTGTCTACGGGACGAAGCCGGAGTCGGCCGGCCGGAGAAGATGACCTGCGATCTAAGGCGGAATAAGCGGAGACGAGATTCGGAATTACCCAGCAAAGAAAATCACGAATATTTTTACAAGCTGATACAAAAAGAAGGAAAAAAATGGTCACAAATAATTTTTTAAAAAATGAAAATATAACTTTACAAATCCAATTTTGTTAATTTCGTAACTTTTAATTTGTGTTGATATATCTATTTCCATTTTGACGATCTTCACTCCATTTATGTTAAATTGACAAGTTTATCATTAAAAGTATAAAAAAAGAATTTAGGTGTAAGTCCTCGTTTGACATCAGCATTAGAAATTAACATTAGTATTTTGTTGGAGTTGGATTCCGACCTAGATTGGATCCTAAGCTTGATGAGATGTTAGGACCTGAGATATTCATGTTACTTCGTCTGCAGTCTGCACTGATTTGTACATGAATGCGTGAGTTATACCAAATACTCAATAAATTATAGACCACTTCAAATCTTTGTTTTCGAGAGGGATAGTCACGAGATAGAGGCGGTTCATCTTATTTCCCGAAGGTGTTGATTGGCGTCCTCCGTTTTCCTTATGGCCTGAGAGGATTTACTACCCTCTCGATCCTAAAACTCATTCGCTCAAACCTACGTATCTTTTTGTTCACGGCTCACGCTTTTTAAAGATCTTTTTTAGGGTTATGCCAGCAATGATGGGTGGATCTGGTAATTAGTGTGTATCGATTCTGATAGGTGTGTTGACATGGCATTTCCACGATTAAATAATATTTCATTCTGATTGTGGCCTCTAAGTCTCTCACGCTTCAAGAATCTTAATTTTTCGTAAATCTCATATCGATTAACTCTCTCAGAACTTGCTCCCGATTCCCAGGGAATCAAGGCGGGAAGATTGGATCCACCAGCATCGTTGTCAAAATGGCATGTTTTACTCTCATTTCACGCTTCAAAAACCAAAAAAGACTCAAACAAACTTGCTCTCGCTTAATCAGATTTACCTTTCAGTCGCCATCACCGAGCGGCTCGTGCCATTCAGAACTATGATATCGTCTTCTAGTCTCTTCTGTAGGTCCAAGTTGTTTTGGCTCAAGTTCTTTAGTTAGTATTTTGAAAATGTTATATAACGATAACTTTTAGTGGTAGCGTTTTTAAAATTAATTTACACGACTAAAATTGTACCCAAATGCTAACACTAATAAAAATATTGTTCTCAAACAAGGCTTATAACATAAAATGTATGAATTTAGCTAAAATTCAGGTAGATATACATACACACACACATACATACATATATATATATATATGTGTGTGTGTGTGTGTGTGTGTGTGTGTGTGTTCAAGTGAGAATGCGATCTAATGAAAGAAATAAGAATAAATCTGGTGCTTTAGATTGTGAGATCTAAGGGTCAGGATTGCATCAAAATTAGGCGCACCAAAATGGTTTGAAAATGCGTCATGTCGAAATGCACCAAAATTCTTTAAAAATGCACTATCTCAAAATCTGGGTGCAAGATGCAATCTGAGCCGCACGATGCATCCGATCAAAAGGTTAGATGTTATTCTTATTTCTTTCACCAAGGTGCATTATCTTATTTCTTTCACCAAGGTGCATTATCACCTGAACCGGCCCCTATATATATATATATATATATATATATATATATATATATATATATATATCAATATCCTTTATGTAGTGTTTGGAAATTAAAGTTCATTTAAAACATCTATTAGATTCTCTTATCAAAATGATGGTGTAAAAAGGACTTTGACTAATTTTGAGCATTGCGGCTTTTAGGGGTTAACATGGTACAGTATGGTACAATATTTAGCTCGTACCGATACCGTACCAAATATTTTGGTTCGGTATGAGAAATTACGTCGTACCGATACTGATCCTGAAATTTCAGTTCAGTATGATTAAGTATTTATTTCGGGATAAATCAGGATGAAAACATACGCCCCTAATTTAAACATTAAAATGTCTCAAAAATATTTATTTTTTATAAATCGAAAGTATATTTAAACAAAAAACATAAAAATGAAAAACTGAAAAATTAAATCCATAAAATACATAGGGTCCGTTTGGTATACGGAATTGGTGGTTTTGGAATTGAATTGGAATTTAAATTTCATGAGATTCAGTTCCATAGAATTGAATTCTGCCCATTCCAATTCTTTTTTGCACTATCATTTCCAAATCCACATAATTTTTGTGCTACCAAACACCAAAATTGGAATTGAAGTCCCCAATTCCAATTCCATAGTTTGAATTTCATGTACCAAACGAGACATTATTAAACTTAGTTTATATCTCACAAACTACAGTGAACGGATGACAAAAAATGATATTTCAAATATGTGTTACTATTTTTAAATTCTTATACAAAAAAATAAAACTCAAATAAAAGTTCAATGTACACGTAATAAAATTTGAGCCAAGTTTTAAAAATAAACTTATTATTCAATGAAAAAATAAAATGATTATTATATTTGTAATATATTAGTATATATATATTCGGTTCAGAATTTTCGGTATAGGAAGTTACCTCGTACCGTTTCCAAATACCGAATCGAATTCTGGTTCGATATGGTTCGGTAATTTAACGGTATTTTTTCGGTTTCCTTGGTTTTCTCGGCTTTTTCGGAAATTTTTGGTATCGGTTCATTACTTGCTCACCCCTAGCGACTTTGTTCCTTTTGGTTGAAATTCTAAAGTTGGTTCTTGAAAGAAACTAATAGAAAGTGGAAGAAACTAGAATAAGTTAGAAAAATTAGAAAAATTGAAAAAGGTTGAAAAATGTTGGAAAATATAAAGCGTTAAAGAAATTAATTAATTAAATGATCACCTAAATAAATATGTAAGAAAATTAATTTTAGATATAAAAATTCATCTTTGTCTGTATTTGAGGTGTTATGTTATAAGTTTGGATATATAATATTATCTTATCTGATTAATACTATGTATGCCGCAATATGTTATTCAATTAGCGTTAGCGTTTTGAAAAAGTTATATATGGACAATGTTTAGTATTACGTTTTCAAAATGCTGACGCTATTTCCAAATAGATCATAAGTTGGGAGGGAAGAGAACATAAATTTGGTTCTATCTTTTTGTTGATACTAAATTGGGTTTCCATTGAGGGCGGTTTTGAACAGCTGAGCTGCTAGTAGTTGGGAGGTGGAGATGAATATAGACATATATATATATAAATATATATAGTTACGGAAATTTTAGGGGAATAGCATTAATGTATGAACCGAAAATGTTTCCTGGATTAATAACTACAGGAAGAACAAGTCAAAACTTCATTTAAGCCATGAACAATTATTAATTAATGAAATAATACTCCGTAATTATCGTGTTGTTTTCTCTGTTTTTCAACGTCTTGCATGGTTAATTCTATTCTAATTTATCTATTTTGCTTTTGTATGTTATATGTTGAGCAATCATTTATACTTTTTCTTGCACTAATATTTCATATTTTCTATTCCAAAAAAAGGACTCTCATTTATTTTTTTGTAACTAATATTATTTTTCCAACAATTGTAAAAAAACTATTGCGAGACGAAGGAAGTATATAAATTTCACATGTATGTCAATATCTAAAAATTTGGTACAACGATCGCAGAACACAATAAGACTAGTGTTGCAAGGAAAATAAGTGAAATCAGATCATACTCTTTCTCTTGCGTGTTCATAGTGTGTAGGTTGCTAAGGCTTGCCCCGCTCTTTAAGTCACTGAACCCAAAGTCGGCCCCGAGGATTCATGGCCCTAGACAAGATAAAAAAAAATAAGCCTTCGTCTTGACAAATTATATTATATAAATTAATTTTTTAAAAATAACAATTAATATTATAGAAATACATGTATCAAAATTGTAGTATTACATGCAATTAAATATCATAATATAATAGCTTAGCTATCTTAAAGAGTTGTCTTTTAAAATTGTTTATTAAAAATATATAAAATATATATTCAAAAACTAAAAATGTTGGGCCCTCGAAAAAATGTGACTGAGCCGGTAAGGCACCCTGGCTCACCTTTGAGTTGGCCCTAACTGAACCACTGAAAAACTAGTGTACGTTTAGTACAAAATAATAATGTACCAAACACTATCATATATGTTATGAATTCTATGTCTTAGTTTTAACTGATCAAGGTCTTGAGTCTAAATTTGGATATAATTTTAATTTTTATTAAACTTTGGAGTCTATATCTTTAGTATGAACTTTAGAGTGAAAACTAGTGTAAGGTTTTAAAACAGAAATTTAAATATTACGGAGTAAAGCTTTTGAGTTCTCACTTCCTTTCTCATTCCTTCTCATCCTCCCCACCTTCCCAATGAAACTGGCCCCAAAACTTAAATATTATTTTCTCCACCCAAAAAAAATCATAATTTACTATTTAAAAATTTCAAAAATTTTTATTTATTTGTACAGTTTCATTAATTATAATTTTTACGTAATATTTAAATATACATACCTGAGTTACTTTTATTTTTTATTTATATACTAATATTTAAATAATATAAATTGAAAAAATTTATAATTTCACTTCGTTTTACGTATGTAGCAAATATTTTGAGACTGAGAGAGTAAGAGTAAAAGTTTGAATAAAAAAGACACAATTATCCACCAAAACCAAAACTTAACTAGTCAAACTCTATTCATGGTCAAAATAACAAAAATGGCATATTATTCAATGTTGTATGCCAAACATAGGGCTTACATAAATTTAAAAAGATACCAAAGAATAGCGATTCCTCCAAAAATAAGTTGCATGTTTACTATTTAAAAAATCATATTTTATTTACTTTTTTTTATTTTCTTTACTTATTTGATAAAATAATATAGTCATGTCACTTCTTGTTTCGTAAAGATTTTGATGTGGTTTTTAATATAAATTTTTTAATTTCATTTCAATTCTCAAATAAAGTGTACTCCCTCTCTTCCTAAAAATCTTTCATATTTTAACTTTTTTAGGTCAAACAGCGACACTCTTTGACCATAAATTAAATATAATCCAAATAAATGAATGCTATAAAAATTTGATATACCAAGACTATATCTTAAGATGAATCCAATTACATTGGATTTAGATTATAATTAAATATATTTTTCTTATAATTTATGGTTAAAGAGTGTCACTGTTTGATTAAAAAAGTCAAAGCAGGAAATGTTTTTCGGATGTGAGAGAGTATTAGAAATAACTTCAATCAAATATCGAAAACCAAAACAAGAGATTTACATTGGGATGAATGGTGTATCATATCATTCTTTAAATACAAATTTATGGAGCTGCCCTTGCATGAATAAATCTGTTATAATAATTTATTTAATTTATACGGAGTATTTATTAAATTATTATGTGAAAAAAGTTTATTCATAGAGTATTTTCTTATGGAGGGAAAGTATGATTATGATTTCCTTCATTTTGTACGCGGTCAACCAATTTGTCATATCCTCAGAGAATAAGTCAACGGTCCAAGTACGTATAAAACTATAAATAGTAACCCAACGCGTACCTGGATCACTCTGCATGTGAGTGAAGGAGCGCAAAACAGAATATAATGGGGCATTGCTTCTCCCGGAGCCACGAGGCGGAGCGGCGGTGGCCAAGACGTGCCGTCAGCCGCTCGCAATCAGTGGGCGGAGGAAGGAACCCGTCGACGAGGAGGAAGGACGCCGCGTTGCAGGACAGCGAGCTCGCCGCTGCGGCGGTGGCAATTCTCTTCCAACAGAAGTTGCAGAACAGCGGCGATGGTTGCGGCGGCGGCCACGACTCGAGCTCCGATCGTTCCGGATTCGCTTCCTCGCGCCAGCTCTTGCGATCCAGGAGGAATCAGCAGCAGCTTCTTCGGAGCTTGAGCTCCACCGTTCGATCCCTTGATCTATGTCCTCCCTCTCAACCGCTCAGTACGGAGGTCGTCTATCTCCCTCCCTCACATATTCTCAATCAATTTCGTCTGGAATTCAATCCGCGCCGATAATTTCTCACATTAATTTCCAGATTGATCAGAAATTTCCTTACATTGAATTTTGGTATGGGAATTCATTTTCAATCGAGTGCAGATTCCCAATCGAATCCCTAATTGTCTGTTCAATCTCTTAATTGGCAGGATTTCTGTATGGGTGATGTGGAGACCAATCATTTCGTGCTCGTTCACGGCGGGGGTTTTGGGGCATGGTGCTGGTATAAAACCACTTCACTTCTGGAAGTTGCTGGGTTTAGGGTTACTGCACTTGATCTATGTGGCTCTGGAATTCATTCTTCTGATACAAATAGTGTTACTACTCTGTCACAGTATGTCAAGCCACTTACTGATTTTCTCGAGCAATTAGCCGACGGGGAGAAGGTGAATTAGTGTTTTTTTTCATCAGTGAATTCTAATTCTGGATTCATGTTGGATGTTTCTTTAAGTCAAAACCATAAGCATTTAGGGATGATTATACATTTTTTGACCCAAATTTTTTATTATGTTTTCTTTGTCATGAACATAAAGGTGATATTGGTTGGACATGATTCGGGCGGTGCTTGTATATCATATGCAATGGAGGCTTTCTCCTCGAAGATCTCTAGAGCTGTTTTCGTCGCTGCGGCTATGTTGACCAGTGGGCAGAGTCTTCTTGATATGTTCTCCCAAATTGTATGTCTTCTTGAATCTTAGCTGGAATCCCATTCTTTATTCCATTGGTGGTTGAGATTATGTTTGTGTACATTTGGTTGGTGTCTTTGCGTTGAACGGGTGGCCTTTATAGTAACTAGTCTCTTTCTATATGCGTTGAAGCAGACCAAGCCAAACGACCTAATGAGGCAAGCTCAAAATTTTATATATGGTGATTGCAAGAATAGCCAACCGACTGCAATCGACCTCGACAAATCACTCTTGAGGGACTTGTTATTTAACCAGAGTCCTGCTAAGGTATACATGTTCTATTCTTTTTCAGTTCTTACTTGTTATTGAATGTTTCCTTGAAGTCATCCACCATGATTTGCATCTTGCATCAATTTACAGCTTACTAATTGTTGGCCTGGTAATAGCATTTAGCAGTTTTGTTAGAAAATGGCATTGTTTGCATAAAGGGTCAGCTTTTAATGGGCCTAGTTGTGTTCATAAATACTCCATAGAGTGTTTCTTAAAATGCATAAAGGGTGATGGAAAACTTAAGTGATCTCATTCTATGTTATTTCTTGAATTGTGCATACCAGGATGTTTCTTTGGCATTAGTGTCAATGCGACCAATCCCCTTCTCCCCAATCCTGGAGAAGCTAACATTATCGGAGGCGAAGTATGGGTCAGTTAGACGGTTTTACATTGAGACTCCAGAGGATAATGCCATCCCCATTGCTTCACAGCAGATGGTGATTGAACAAAACCCTCCAGAAAAAGTGTATCATCTCAAAGGTGCAGATCACTCTCCATTCTTCTCCAAGCCTCAATCCCTCCACAAAATATTGGTGGAGATCTCAAGAATCCCTTCAAAAACTTCATGAGAATTCAGTGTTGGGTAGTCTTTGGCATGCAAAGCATATCTCTTGGTTCTCAAAAGAACAAGAAAACAAGAAACTGGAAATGACAGGTACATCTGTACAGATCCTGATCATTTGGTCTGAGTTGAGGTTGTTTTTAGAAGTTTATTCAGATAGAATCTTCAAATTTGCATTGATGAAAGGCCTTCAGGATCTATGGAGTGATGTAATAGAAAAAGATGGGATCATAAAGATCATTGCGCGGATGAATACAATTGTATTCATCTCTAAAATCATGAGTATAAATTATAGCCGCCGAGGAGGTTTACCAGAAAAATTGTGTGTGTTCGTCTTCGACTCTCTGTGTGTGTGTGTCGAGATGCGAACGACAGTAGAGAAATAGACACAAATTTTGTATTTGCAGTTAAGGATCACTTGTAATTTTGGGTGTTCATCTTCCATTATCATTTTGGAGTCTTGTTGTGCATACTGTCCATTTCAGATTTTTTGGTGAAATTTTAGAATAATGATTTACATATTAATTATTCTTACTCTATAAAAAGTGTTGTAACATTAATTACCTTCATTAGTGATATGAAACGATTAATTCAGGATAAATGTAATGCGGGGTATGAGTTACTGAATATTATCTTCCAAATTCAAGAATGGGTTATGTTTGAGAACTCTTCAAGACATACAAGTTGTTAGAATTGTTGTTTTAAAAGAATTGCAAGTTGTAATGGTAATTCTCCTTGTTCATAATAAGCACCCAGAGTATAACTCCCCCCCGTCCTTAAACAATCTATTTATTTTAAATTATGATATTTAACTAAATTATTTTATTAGCGTAAAATTAAAGATAAATCCCTGAGTTCCTAAAATATTTTCCCTTTTTCCTTAAAAAAAATTCACATTTCAAATTACGATATTTGACAGAATTTACTTTCAAATCAATTTATATAAATATTGGCGTAGAATAAAAAAAATTATACTCCGTATAAAATACCTTTGACTTCTCCCTTGGATAAAATTTGAATTTAAAATGAATCCACTTTCTGGTTATGGATAATTGGATAGTGTATAGTGGCCTTTGGGAATTTTGAAGAGTCATTCGAAAATTAACCCAGAATTGTGGTGAACTCATAATGAGATTTCAAAAACATAAAGGAAAAAAACGTTGAAAAGTGAAAAAAAAGTGAAGGAAAAAAATGTTGGAAAGTAAAAAAAAAGTGATGGAGAGATGGCTATTAAGTGAAGAAATCTATCTAAATAGGAGTAATGAGAGTGCAATGAAAGTGTGACACTAGTGCCAATGAAGAATAAAGTAATAGTAAAAAAATTTGATTAATGGACCATGAGCCAACGGTGGTCAACGCCGCTTACGCTTAGAGGCGGTGCTCCAGGGGGCAGGGACCTCATGGGCTCACGGCTCCTGTGACCTCTCGAAGGTGTTCCTGTAACCCATTACGTACAGCGAGTGGCAAAAATAGGTGTAATGTGACAGTGACTGACAATGACATCGAATAATTCTATTTTGGTTTTACGAAGTATGAATTAAAAGACTAAGGGGCTGTTTGGTAACTTCTGAATGGGTAAGTGCTGAACCAGTAAGAGGTCTGAACCATTAAGTGCTGAACCAGTAAGAGGTCTGAACCATTAAAAGCTAGTATATTGCTTAACTATTCAGAGGCAAATGTCTGATCAATTCAGATAAGAGGTTTTAACCATTCAGACTCTGTATAATACTTAACCATTCAGAGGCAAATCTCTTAACCATTCAGACATCTGAACCATTAAGAGGCTGAAACAAACAGTCTGAACCATTAAGTGCTGAACCATTCAGACATCTGAACCATTAAGAGGCTGAAACAAACCGCCCCTAATAGTCTTATTTTGATATTTTCATACTTTTTTATTTATACTTAGAGAGTACTTCTGTTAAAATATCATAGTAGTATCATTTCTTATTTAATTAAAAAATTTAATATAATTTTTTAATATATAAACATTATCTTGAAGTATGGTATCATTATATATACAAAAAAAATATGGTATTATAATTTAAATTAATTTAATGGTATTTAATTTGGGAGGGAGTGAAAAATCTGCCCTCTCTCCACTCCATCACTGCGCTGTTTATAACTCCCCCACACACTTCTCTTTCCATTCGCACATCTCCTTCTTGTCAATTCTCACCAGGAAAAAGGTACGTACCCGCAATCGCTATCTCCCCCCTTCTTTGCTTTGATCATCTCGCTTCTCTGTGAATCGATTCTTCTTCGCTCTCTGTATTTCGCTATATGCTCTCAGATCTCTGTTGTTTTCGTTTCTCGTGTTTGGATTCATTGGTTCCGTTTTAGATCTCGTGATTGCGCCGTGTTTCTGGAATTCGATCACTTGATTGAACTGATGGTTCATTTAAAAAAAAATGAGATTCCAGATGCTTTTTCCCAACCCAACTTTCTGTCTGTTTGATCTGTTTTCTTCAGAAATGAAGATCTGAGATCTTTGTGTTACTTCATGGCTTTGTTGAACCAGACCTGAAGTCAATAGGGTTTTGATAAGTTGGTAGATAGATAGTGATATGGGCTGCACTGGTTTGATTTGGGGGGTTTAATCAATTACTTGATTATTACAAAGGATTTAGGATAGTAGTCAGATCAGTTTTTGAGATTATTGGAGCAACCTGAAGGGATCCGGGCCTGCCTTCTCTGGCCTGGATCCTGTCCAGATTAAAAAAAAGACAGAAGAGATCTCAGATGTTGATCAATTTAATTTGAGAGGACATGAATCCACAAGAGAAGGCTGATCTTGGCCATGAATTTCCCAGATTTGAATCTGTAAGTTTCCCACATTTTCCCAAATAACTGAAGGGTATCCAGGGCCCTAGTATGCATAAATTTGGGATTACTTGACTGGGTGGGATCAGATAAAATAACGCTTGAGGCCACATAAAACAACTTGATTTCCAGGAATTAGGTTAACCCCATATGGGAAATGTGAGTGCTAAGATTTTCAGGATTTGAAAATTTTCTGGAATTTCCTAATATAGTAATACCCATATTTTTTGAAATCCCAACATGGGCATCATTTGAAACCTCCATAACTTCTTTTGATGGATGGATAAACAGAAACTTCTGTTGATGGGTGGACAAACATGTAGCATAAACAATCTTTCAACTTTCTATCTTGTTTTAATTGCGGAATGTTTTTAACAATTCTCAACTGCTTTTTAGTTTTTCCAGTTCAGTGTTTTGCTTTAATCATGTTATAATTCAATCATCGTTTAAAGCATGTTTGGATTGTTTGCAGTACGTAACAGGAGATCGTGTATTGAGACCCAGAAAAAGTTAGGATGATGAAGCGTGGACATAGTGCTGGGGGTGGGCAGAGTTCCTTGGGGTACCTCTTTGGAGGTGATGGAGAGGCGGCTCCTACTAAAACCACTCCAGCAGCACCAGTTGCCGAGAAGAACCCTCCTGCAGATAAGGTTCCCAACAATCCCTCTGCACCGGCTGCTGCTCCAAAGGTCACTCCAGCTCCCATGGATAACCTTAAACAAGTTCCTGCTGGTATTCAGAGTACCAATGCAAACAACTACCTTCGCGCAGATGGTCAAAACTGTGGCAACTTCCTTACTGTAAGAGCATAATATCTTATTGTCTCTGTGTCATTTCTTTGTCCCAAGTACCAGCATCTACCAACGAACTGTCATTAGCAATCTTATCAAGAACATTTACAAAAAAGAGGATGACACCACCATGTTTTTGCATACAAATTAAACAATTATTTTTTTAGTTAATCAGAACTAGTTCTCTATAAATTACTAGGTGCTAGACTAGGCTGCTTTGGCAGCTCCTAATCAAGAAGCAATTGGAGTGCTTGCCATAGCAAAGTCTAGGCATGGTTAGGCAGGAATTTTTTAGGATGGTTGAAAATTGAACGAGTTCATTTTGTTTGTATTTATCATTTTACCCATTGTAAAGTTAACATTTTCCTATATGTAGGAGCAGTATCTTATTTTAACATCGAAGGGGTAAATTTAGAATTGAAAATTTTGAGTCACATCCAACCAAGAAACTCGACTTCTCTCTTTTCGGAACATCTTTTTTTTCTTTTTCCTATGAGCAAAGGTGTATAATTGATCTCTGTTATGATTGCAGGATAGGCGATCAACCAAGGTTCAAGCTGCACCAGGTGGTGGCTCTTCACTTGATTATCTATTTGGTGGTGCAGACAAAAAGAGCTGAAGAACACAAGTTTCTTGTGAGAGTACTCTCTCTCTCTCTCTCTTATCTCTTTGCCCATCAAGAATATAAGTGTTTTTGAATATCTGAATTCTGAACTTGAGTAAAAACAAATGTAATGCTTTGGTTCATTGGGTGTTGTATTTGATGCATTTTGTAATTGATTTCAAGTGTGAGATTGATAAATGTTGTTGCATTGTTGAAACTTGTTCCTTCTTGGCATATTCTCTAATTCCATTGGCATTTTGATGAAGGACAATAACCTTTGTGAGTGTGTGGTTTTTATTTTATTTTATCTTATCTTTGGCGTTGGGTCGGGACATACTTGTATCGTCATTGTTAATGGCTTTGACCAATTGGTTCCGCAAACGAACAAAGAACAGCAAGATGTCTTTGTCAAGGGGCAACTCCGATCTTTGCACCATTTTGCTTCAAAGATTTGTTCTTTGTGCATTAGCCATTGTTAGTAGACGTAGCAAAACAGAATCGAAATTGATTACTCGGATAGAATGATTTGGAATTGAGTCTGAAATGACTCAAAAAATGAAAATTTGATTTACAACCAAAGACTCGAAATGGATCTAACCAAACCCAAATTGAGCCAAATTAATTCATACTCCCTCCGTCCCAAAGTATTTGTTCACTTTCATTTTTACACACCATCCAATGCACTTCTTTAATCCATTTTATCTTGTAATTTGTATATTAAAAAATTATAGAAATTATATATTAATAATCTATATGTTAAGACAAATCAAATAAGATCACACATAACTATATTTAGGCTTACACATTGAGAAAATTTGATGAGTCAAAGTGCTTAGATGAACAGTTCTAAAAGTCAAAAGTGGACAAAACTGGGGGACGGAGGGAGTATATTATATAGATTTGAATCCAATTGGATCTAAACAAATGAATTCTAAAACTTCTTAAATTCGAAACAGATTAGACTTGAAACTTATTAGATTCGAAACGGGTTAGATCCAAAATCAAGTCATAGATCATTAATTGGAGTAATAAATTAGGTAAATGACGTTTGACAAAAATAATTACTTTTATAAACTGTTGATGTCTTTTTAAAAAACTGTTTACAATACCCACAAATGACTTTTGACAAATAATTACTCCGGGTACTTTTTAAACTGTTGGCAAAAAAACTACTACAAAAAAACCAGCTTTACATTCTCTTCAACTTCACCATTCAGCTTCATCATCAATTGTGGAATGCCCATCAACCTATACATGTTTCATATTGCATTTTTGAAGTACTTTCTACATTCCAATTTAAATCGTTGTTTCAATTTACAATGTTTGAAAATTAGAGCAAAATTAAAAAATGAAATTTACTTATTAAAAAAATACATCAAAAGTCTACAAAATAAGAAATGACATAATTATATTATTTATAAAAAAAAATGAGTAACAAAATTAGGGAAATAAAATAAATAAAATTTGATCGTTTAAATATTAAACATCTAACCTAAATTGGAATGGAGGGAGTACTTAACATGAATTCATTACATGGTAGCTAGATTATGATACATAGTGTTGCACAAAATTCAAAACCCTCAAAAGATGCAATGGGACATCCATTCATATGCTGCCACAAAATCGAAAAAACTTCTCATTGATCAAAGGGATTTCATATAAATTATCCGTAAATTTTTACTTCAACAGCTAAGCACATTTGATCAAAGTGATTTCATATAAACACGGTAAGTATTCTATAAATCAAAGGTTCAAAATTATCTCCTTCACATTTTTTTTAACATTTTTCTTGAATTCTGTGGATCGAAACATTGCAAGGAGTAGTTAATTTTAAGATACGGGGACTAAGTTTGGGTTTTATTCTGTCTACCTTTAAAAAATAGGGAATAACTCTTGTTCATTAACTTAAAGAACATCTACATTTTTTAACCTGGCAAGCACTTGACCCGATATTAGGGCAGAATCCATCTAAATGTCTTTTAGTAGTGTAGTTATAGAATATAGAATACCCACGAGGGCATCCACTTGACTTTTGGTCGTACTTATATACAACAAAAGTATATTAAATACTCTAATACTTAGATAATGGGCATTTAGGTCATTTTCACCTCAATTTGTTCTTATTAGAATTCAATCAAACCATATCAGTTCAGAAAATACTTTACATATAACTATAATCAAATCAGACCATATGAGATTAGATCAAAATTATTCTAATCAGATCAGAATCAATTAAATCATGTGAAGAGAACATGACCTTATTAGTCATATATACCAATAGATGTTATCATATGCTCTGTTCTTTTGGTTCTAGAGCGCTTCTTTGGTGAACTTAAAGGGCACACTAGGTAAACAACATACAAACTGATAAACAAATTATACTCGGAGTACTATTCATATTGATTTGGAACTTTTATAAAATAATACATAATGAATGTGAATCTCAAAAAAATTAGTACTCCTATTACTGATATTTAAAACAAAAATTGTGTCATAGAAAAAAAATTGAGGTGAATAAAATATAAATTATTTTAATAAAAATATGAAACCTGAAAAAAATATGAAGTACTCCAATTTAAGTTAATTTTTTTTATTTTTTCAACATTTTCTAAGTCCTTTCAATTTCTTTAAATTTTTCCAATGTTCAAGTTTTTGACCTTCTTTCAGTTTCAAAGTTAACTTCAATATTTTCAAATTTAATTAGCACCAAAAACGCCAATACTAATAAAAATAGTTTTCAAATAAGGCCTTAGATGATCTTGATATAATTTCTGGCACTAAAAAATGGCAATACATCAATGTCCAATTGGGCTTAATTAAAGTTCGAATTCAACTCAACCAAGTCAAATTCACATACCTTTTTTTTTTAGTTCAGACTCACATACTTTAAAGACAAGTCAATAAAAAACAATTTCAAGTCAAATTGTTACGGAAGGAATTTAAAAGGAAAAATAAAAGAAAATGAGAGATAAAATAAGTTCTCATGTTTGGTTAGAAAGGAGAAGTGAAAAGAAAATAAAATGACAATACAAAACATACTAAAGGGTTTCTATTCAATTGAGATTTTAAAAGATTATATTAGATTTTTTATAATACGTAGATTATGCAGAATTTATTGATGTAAAATCCACATAGAGTTGAAATGATTTTAATGTATTGCATTATCAAGATTTATGCAGACTTTTAAAATCCATAGATTTTTTTTCTTATATCAAGAACCAACATCTAATTGAAATGATAATTTCTCAAGGCCTGCCACCATTATCCATGACCATACTCCAGATCGTTTAGAGAGAGAAAAAACAATTTAATCAGGAATCAAACCCATTCAACAGGTAAAGATTTCATAAATAGGCATTCACATGTGTGAAAAAATAGATTGAAGAACTGCAGAAATGGGATTAGGATCTTGTAACATTTGAGATACACCAGTTTGTAACCTAGTGTCAAGCTCCATATGCTAAGGCAGCCTTTTCCATTTTCAATTTCTCAAAATCTGAAGTTTCATAGAGAGATTTGTGTTATTGATTTTTACTATTTATACTACACATCTTATAATCCTTCCCAATCCATCATTTATAAAAATCTTAGAAAATCAATTGAATTTTTAATATCATTAGATTTAGATGGATATTTTAAATTTTAAATTGATCACACTAGAATTCTAAAAGACTTAAAAATCCTAATTGAATACCTATAGACTCTTATAATACAAAAAAGTACTATGAACTCTATGTTGAATACACCCCCTAAGGGAAAGGAAAACCAACCAAACATAGTGCAAGGAATTATCATTTCTCAAGGTCTGCCACCATTGAACCAAACATAGTGCAAGGAATTGATGTGGACAAAAAGGACTGCAGAAGATAACAGAGGCACAAGACTCACAAAAATCTTAAGGTTTCAAATGCCAACTCAACCAAACTTGTAAATTTTCTAATCCAAGGTTTCAAGTACAACCATGCTAGATGTACACTAAAATGGTGTACACTAAATGTAGACCATCCAAAATTTGAACTATAGAAACTTAACACAAACGTGATACACAAACAGGCTTGTTGTGTCAAGACTGACAGTTTTCTCAGCAAAACACAGCCAGGCCAATGTTCAAATGAGCCAATTGAGTCCAAAATTTATTGCAAAATTGCTTGATTCATTGATTGTATGTCCAATGCCAAATCATTTGCAGCACCCAAACCAAACAAAACATTCACAGACCTTACTATTACAACAAGAGAACCACAAACACTTATTCCTAGAAAATGCAACAAACAGTGATAAAAAAAGACACCAACACATGATATGAGACATTCAAAAAGGTTCCCGTCTCAAATTCTAAGTTTATTGCACAGTTGCATCACAAATGAATCTCCAATAGCAGATCATTTCTGGGCTGTGACATTGTAAAACCTTATAAACGATACATAATGTTCAATTACCTTGCCTCTAATTCAAAAACCAAAGACGAATTTCAAGAATCCCAAGCAAACAGCAAATGCAAATGACTTAGATTTTGAAATACACACAAAAGGCCATCCAATTCATCAAGTGCTTCATTCATAGCATATGATACACCTAGGAATACCCAAGGAATTGAGATTTTATAAAGGGGATTGCACTATTTGTACACCAAAAAAAGTTAACCAAGTTTAAACATTTAATTTTTTTCCCACTTCACATTCAAAATTCATATGAGACAAACATTACTTGCCTAGTCATATGTGAGCAAAACAGACAATTTTGTATGTGAATTGCAAACAAAAAAGGTGTAATTTTGATGTAAAACTCTGGTGTACACCACACTGATCCTTACATAGAAGACAAACCCAAAAGAAATGATAGAAGAAAACCTTCTTGACTCTTCAAAAAACAAACTAAGGAGCAGTAATCATCAAAATGATTCCTTAATAACCAAGTCTTACATGTTAATAATAATACTGATAAAACAGAAAGCAATAAAAACGATTCATAAACTAAAAACAGAGTTCCAGATTTTCAGAATGAGAGGCATGAAAACAAACAAGGTTTCTGCAGATCGAGCGCGGATTGCGCTGGCAGGGAAGCATCCTCAGAACCCGAGCTTGGTGCGGCGCCAATGGCGGCGCTTGGCGTTGTAGCGGATGGTGTTGTCGGTGCGCATCCGGATCCAGTACGGAATCGGCCTGTTCTGCCTCTGCTTCTTCNTAAGGAGCAGTAATCATCAAAATGATTCCTTAATAACCAAGTCTTACATGTTAATAATAATACTGATAAAACAGAAAGCAATAAAAACGATTCATAAACTAAAAACAGAGTTCCAGATTTTCAGAATGAGAGGCATGAAAACAAACAAGGTTTCTGCAGATCGAGCGCGGATTGCGCTGGCAGGGAAGCATCCTCAGAACCCGAGCTTGGTGCGGCGCCAATGGCGGCGCTTGGCGTTGTAGCGGATGGTGTTGTCGGTGCGCATCCGGATCCAGTACGGAATCGGCCTGTTCTGCCTCTGCTTCTTCGCCAGCTTCTTCTTGATCATGAACGTCTTGTGCGACGGCTGCGGATTTCACGAATTGATGTGAATTTAAGATGAGAAAGAAATGAAATCAAAACCGATTAATCGTATAAGAAGGAAAGGGAGATCCAAATACCATTTTCGCTTCTGCTTGATCGGACGTCGGCGACGGAGCTCTCTGGAGAGTGGCGGATTCACAAACCCTAATTTATCGATGTTAGATATATATAGGGCGGGGGACGCTTACAGCATCTCACAAACAAGCGGGGTTGACGAAGATACCCCTGGTTAACTAAACCCCAAATAAATTTGCAATCCCAAACAATTTACAAATTTTGATTTTTAAATAAATTAAAGATGGTTAAAAATGAAAAGTGTTTGCCTAGATTTTTTTTAAAAAAATTAAAGAGAAAATCCTGTTAACCATATCCATTACTTTACTTTAAAGATGCACTGAAAATTATTTTTTGACCTTCAAATAATACAAATTGGGTAAAGTATAAGACTTGTTTTATTTAACTTATTTTAAATATTAGAATTAATGGCTGAAAAAATTAAGTCTCAAAGAACAAGATCATACTATATCTGTCATGATTATGACAGTAAAATATGATACTTCTTCCTATGCAACGTGATGAATAATTTTCTTGATTAAAGATAAATAATATTTCATGATTTAAATTTATATTGCATTATGACTTTTCAAAAGTCATTTTTTTAGATAATTTTGAATATAATTTTATTCTATTTTTTTATATAAGAAAAATGTGAAACCTTTTTTGTGGCAATGTGCCAGACAAACGTTTTTCATGTGTTCAGGTAATCATTTTTTAAAAAAAATAAAAAAAATGTGTATGAAGGTCTATAGCAACTTTAGATCCACCATAGAATATCTCTATGCACAGTCTGTCATTATCGAATCAGCTAACAACTGTATAATATATAATTTCTAACGACACATTAGATTTGCTAAGGTGTTCGCTAAACAGCGCTCCAATGTCAAGTGGTGTTACAAATTTTTCTATTTAGCTTGATGGGAGGTCGCCATGATTGGCAAGTCAATCTCAAAAGCATCAAACTGTTGCCCAACATGCACATTGAAAATAACCCGATGATATACTTAGGATAAACGACCAATGTAAAAGTCGGTCACTCCAAAAGTTGTACTAATCATTCCGATTGTCAATGTTAAGGTTGACACGAGACGATTTTGGTCGATTTTGGTTTCTTTACATCAATTGGCAATCGGCGAAAAGATGATAGGGATAGGAGGGTACAAGTGGGATACAAAATGATAAAATATTTTTCGAACCAAACAACATAAATTGGTTCCAAATACAATGCGAACCAATCCGCCCAAACAATACACATTACAAGCCCAGCCCGGTCTATTTGTGATTACAAAGCTACAAAGTGCATAAAAGAGTACAAAGAGGAGAGGGAGGAGAGCTGAGTGCGAGCAGAAACCTATACGAAATTCAATCGAAGAAGAAGAAGAAGGATGAGCTGCGGCGGCGGAAGGAAGGGGCCGCCGAAGCACCAGAACAGTTTCGCGTGGAAGCCTAACGCCGGGAAGAAGATCAACGAATCGGAACTAGGAGGGAGGTTCAAGCCTTACTCAGAGATTACCGGCGTTTGCGCGCGCTGCAAGGGCCAGATTGACTGGAAGCGCAAGTATGGCAAGTACAAACCTCTCACTGAGCCTGCCAAATGGTAAACCTAACCTACCTATAGTTTTATCATCAATTTCTGCAATCTGTTACATAGATGCCTAGGGCTATCCCTTTTTCGTACCCTAACCTCGCAAGTATTTCAATGGAAAATGATTATCACATGGTAAGAACAACAAAAGACTATTAAACATTTGCTTAATTGGTTAGAGGTGAACTAATACTACACACTGAGATAAGCTTTCTCAGAACATTTGAAACAGAAATCATAGTGAGAAGTTATAACACTTAGGCTTGTACTCCCTCCTCGGCCCATAAAAAGAGACCAGTTTCTTGACACACTATTGCCCCCAGGAAAAGGGTCTTATTGAATGAAAACGAGCTAATTACTGTATCATAAGTTTTATGATGGTTGTACCTTAGGCAAAATTTAGAAGTTGTACCTTGATGAAATACCTATTATGGCTTGTTTGATCCTTTTTCAGCTATGACTTCTGTGTTAATTATTGTCTTCTGAAGTCACCGTGTATTGTTTTGAAGAGTCGTGAAAATAAGTTTCTTCACATTTTTTAGGAAAAAAACGTCATTGATCATTGATTGTTGTATCTCTCTTATGCATATATGAGATAAGTTTACATTACACAAATCTACAAATACCTTACACATGCAGATATATTATATATATGGCCACTTGCGTTAGTTGCATGTGTTCTTAATCAGCACATTGATATGAACTCTTTTAATGTTCTGATAAACTGATCTGAAAAATATTGATTTTTAACAGCCAGAAGTGTTCGAAAAGGAATGTTCGCCAAGCTTACCACAACATCTGCAATGGTTAGCTTCTATAATTATTGTCTTTCTTTCAACAGAGGCGGTAATGATCCTCTTAAATATTTGTTGTACTGTTAACATGTATGTACAGCTTGTGCAAAGGAGCATAACGTATGCGCCAAGTGTTCCTGTCAAGTTAGCCATATCATTGGAAGGTTTCGGTTTCTCTATTTTTTATTTGAGAAACATTTGTTATTTGGATGTTTAATTTGTCAACCATTGATGCATTCAATCTGTTCACCTTTGCTTATGATGGTGAAAAACATTCTAATCGTCGTTGTTCATTGATTTGCAGAGATTTGTCAGAAGTAGAGGCTGAGAAGAAGATCCTTGAAGAGGTTCGTGTTTCCTTATGGTTCTTTTTTAGCACATTGACTTTTTTGATTTGCAAACTTGCTTTAATTTTCTACTAGTGGTTTCTAAATGATCTTCCCACAGGCTATTTCAAATGCATCAGAACTGCCTTGGTAACCAGTTCTTGGGAAGATCCTAAAGAATCTAAAAAGATTCTTTTTTTGCTTGCAGGCAATAAAAAATGCTCGCGAGAGGGATAGGAGGAGTCTACTAAGATCTGTAAGGCACAAAATAAGTTTCCAGATTCTTTGCATATGCATTTTAAAGATTTTTATGTTGTGCTATATAACTTCATTAACTGGCATAAATGAATAATAGAAACATCTTTGCACGTGACTTTGGAGCATACGACCTGCTCACAACATAAGTCAGATTTTTTAAATTCTTCTGTGTAACAGTATACATTTCAATATTTCATTTATTGCTTTTGAGTTTGTTCTGTGTGGTTTGTCTTTGAACAGATGAACAAAGGAAAATCTTTAAGTTCAGGAAAATCCACGTGTCAAAATGACAAGGTGGGCGAGCTAGTCCCAGAATCACCACCAACTGAGCAATGTGATGGCTATACTCATGATCATAATGATGCAATGATATCAAAACAAAATGATGAGAAACATGGCTATGAAGAGGAGGAGGACAACGATGATCACGAGGAGGGGACACTTGATAATGCCCACAGTGATTATTATGCTGAAGAGGAAGAGGAAGAGACTGGTAGAGTAGATGAATGATCCCATTATCAGTTCAAATGCATCTTCACAGAATCTTATTGATATCAAGCAGTTCAAATCCCTCAAGAAGATTTCGAGTATGTCTTATACCTCTTTGATTACTTAAAGTTGATTTATATGAACAAGAACCTTTACAATTTGCTTTGTTATGCCATTTTGCAGCATAGAAGTGTTTGCTCTAGTCTTTTTTTTTAGAGATATACCTCTAACAGTCTACCATACTAACATATACTCCATATAATCTAGCTGTCAATCAAAGAACATGTTTTCTTAGCAAAGGAAAATAGGAATTTAACATAGAATAGCTCATTTCTCTGTGCTCTTCAAACCAATCATAGTAATGTAATGGTACAAAAATTCTCATTACTTGAAGTTTTTAGTGTATACCTCCATGTCCACTCCATGGGGATTTGGGATGAGATCTATTATTCCAAACTTTTACTCCATTTTTATTTCAGCAGTGGGATTGGCGTTGCGTGTATTTAACTGGCCATTGCTAAGTACACGCGGCGACAATCCAACAGTTGGAGACGGAATACATTTCTGGAATAGAAGTCTCATCCAATCCTGTAAACGGGGTCATTGCTTCTTTAAAATTTCTATATGACGAGAGGGGTTTTTCGATCAGAAGAAAATAAAAAGCAGCCAAAGACTTGAATAACTTAATGGTGAGAAGAGGAGTAGGTTTAGGCAGGGGGCAGAGTTGGGTAGATAGGGGTAAGTATCAGGTGGTGGCAACATGCACTCATCTCCATTGAAGTAAACCTTCCTGGGAAACCCCCACCCTTGTTTGAAGGTGAATCTGTCCTTATCTTTCTGCAGAAGAACCTCTGACTGGACATTCCCATACTCCCCAGCTTCCATTAACAAGTCATTGAAGAACTTCATCCCATAGAACATCCCTGTGTCATCTGCAATCATAAAAAGATCAATTAGTTCATATCTTTCCTCTGCCTGGATGTGGAGGAGATTCTCAAACTATCACAACAAACCCAGTAAAATCTCACAAAAGTAAGGTTTTATTTGAGAAGTGCTTACTGATGGATCCATAGGTGACGAGTGGTTTGTAATCAAAGCTGAAAACCTGTGTCACGTTATTGAGATTAGGGTGTTGAACGACGAGAGTCCACATCGTATAGTTCATTCTATAGTTGAAGTTTGTTATAGAGATCTTCACGCGCCAGTATTCTTTGTAGTTGATCTTCACATGCCAATGAACTCTTATAGGGCACATATGTTGTGTGCACTGCAACAATGGCGAGTTGTCTTTCCTTGGCGTATTTACCCCAACCATTCTTAGCATTTGTGAGTCCTTCCTGTATGTGATCAATCCCAAATATCAAAACTCGTCTCTTGTTACACACTAAGAGCTTGTTCTCTTCAACTTATTCTTATTGAAATCAAATCATATTAGACCATATCACATATCAAAAGCAGCCCTAAACATAACTACGATCAAATCAGACCCGATCAGATGGGGATTCATTTCAATCAGATCAGGTGAAGAGAATAAACTTTTAGCTCTTAAAGTTATGTGCCTTACTTGATGCACTTGTTTCGATTTTCGCAACCGCAAGCACAATGCGGGCACGAGGTTATGGTTTCGTTGTAAAACGTCGAGAGTGAAACACAACAACTCGGGTGCTTACGTGCTAGAAATTGTGAATATGTGCATGTCACATTCCATGTCACTGCAGAAAAGGATAATAAAAAGCCAAAGTATTAGATTGAAAATTTATGAAGGATGGATCATATAGTGAAATTAAACTTCCAAATGACATAATATCATATTTTGACACCTAATATTAGTACCAAAACCACAACACCCTTTAGATAATTCAATAAATTTGACTACGTACTTTGTATCAGTTAAAATAATACTATTTTCGTTTAGAAATTTTACTATTATTTAGACATACTACAATATTATAAATTAAATAATATTTTTAATTATATAAAAAATAAAAAAACTAGATGACAATACAGTGTCACTAGGAAAGTTATGTTTACACAATAAAATGGAGTAGAAAGAAAAAATACAGAATTTGTCACTTTTTATTCATACCAAAGTACCTGATTTTGAATTTCTTTTTTCTTTTACTTAAATCTTAGAGGGTCGGATTTAGGCTAAAATTGAGTTCAATTAACAATATCTTTGTTCTAAAATTGAGTCAGAAACTAGTGTAGCAACATATTTAGTCCAATCAACCATTCGGCTCATTTTAAACCAAACGAGCACAAAACTCATAAATGGCTTGATATGACACTGAAGAAACAGTACTTACTAAGGGCTTGTGTGTTTCGCCTACGATCCGAAGTCAAAAATTTAGTAGATGGGACTATCTTTGCAGGGCCACAAGTGTATCCCGATCCCGGGCCAAGCAAGGTGAAGTTCTTAGGTACTCTAACAGTCTTGTTGGAGGTTCCCGCCTGGCCGACACTGACCTGAAATGCAGAGACGGACGACTGCGAATCTTGGCCCCAAGAAGCCAAGACCCCACCTTTACAACAGTTTGAGAACTGCTGGTTGTAGGGCACCCCAGGAAGAAAGTCCACCACACTGGGGCTCTTCTTGCAGCAATGTGGTATTGCGGCTTTGAACTTGGAGCAGTCACCTTGGTCTGTGGTCTGCGCACCCACCATGGACCAAATGACTTCGTTCTTAGCCCACGTCCAGCCCAGGGTCCACCCCGGGCTCAAAATATGTCTATACATTTGAAAGTTGTTTATGGTCACGGTCGCCTGTACACATTTCATGTCAGTCATCTAACAACCTCGAAAATCTCAAACAACAAGAATCACACATGGAATAAATCAAATATACTAAGTACACAATAGTTAAATTGTGCTAGCTTACAACATAGCCATCGGGTGTCCACGACATTACATCCCATTTTACCGTGATATTCCCGGTCGGATCCAAGGGATCATATGCCCCTACAAATTAAGCCATAAACATTTAGGGTTTGTTTGGATATCAGAAAATGCTAGTCAAAAAGAAACAAAATGACACATGAAGTTATTTTCTTATGCTTGGTTTTATTTTACATAAACAATATGTAAAGGAATAAGAAACATGCAGTGAATTAAAGGCTAACCTCCATGAGGAAAGAACATGAAGAAGATGCAAAGTGAAATGAGAGTTTTCATGTTGTGTGGCATTGGCCTTTGTCAAGAAATGGGACTTTGATTAGTTAGTTAAATGCAACTGTAAGATGGTATTTTCTATCACATACCAAACTGGTTGTTGGTTGGTAGAAAAAAGAGAGGTATGGAAAAGGCAGTGAAAGAGAGTGATGGATCTCTTTAATTTTGACATATCATCATTTTGTATATCAATTTTGGTTCAAATATTGTGTCACATGAATAGACTCGAGTTTGAATCGTGATAGGGAGTACAAAATACTACTTTCGTCCCGGAGTATTTGTCCAGTTTTGAATTTTTTCAGTCAACCGTTTTCAACCTTTGACCTATAATTTAATAAAATATATATTGTGAATTAATTAGATAAATTAAAATAATATTTTGAAAATATTTTATATAATAAATGTAATTAAATTATTTTTGTATCAATATCTAATATCATTTTTATTTAATCTGGAGTCAAAGTTTACCAATTTTGACCGAAAAAAATCAAAAGTGAATAAATTCTCCGGAACGGAAAGACTAATAAGGAGTATATGTTAAGATATTCAAAAATAGAAAATGTAAATTTTGTTTTAGATGTGCGAGGGATTATATTTCTACGTGAGATGTCTGAATCTTGAAGCAAAGGAGTGATGGTTTGGTTGGGGACAAATTCATGCGGAAAATTAAGGATAGGAGTGCAACATTCCAACTGTCATGCTTGCAATAATAAGTGGCTTCCAAACAAGTCAATGGCCAACCATATTTTTGTTTCAAAGGAATGTCTGAGACTTCGTTTGGCATCACCGTTATTTAGAGATTAGTGTTAGCGTTCTGAAAAGGCTATCCAACGATAGCTTTTAACATTAGTATTTTCAGAATTAATCTGAATCATTAAAGTTTATTCCAAAATGTTAATGCTAATAAAAAATGTTATTCCCAAACAAGGCCTTAGATGGGAGTAAAGTTCAATTAGACTTCATATAGTTTTGATCTTCTAAATAAGACTTTGACCGTGTAATTGATGACAACTTGTTCAAAATATGTTATTGAGAAAATGTTAAAGTCACAAATATCTTGGTAAAAAACTATACAAATGTGTCATTTGTGCATCTCAATAATTTAAATACATAAATGATAAATTTGTATAGTTTGTGTTCATGTTGCTTGTGACTATAACATTACTCAATATTACTCCGTATTATACAATTTTTGGGTCTTTTTAGGCTAGGCTTAACGATTCGAATGCTAAATTTTTGTTGGGACACTTGGGACTTGGGAGTACTAAATACTCCGTAATACGGAGTAGAGAGGCTTCCACCATTCTTAAATTATCGTCTTCTTTATTTTTTGAGGTTTTTGATTATATTTATTTGCACGCGTATACGATTTCATTAATAATTTGATAAAATAAAATATGCATAATGTCACCACTTGTTTTTGTAAAATGTTAACTTCTGTCACCACAATCATTGTCGACATCTTCTTGCATGTGACTAGCCTTGGACACTGTATGGTTCTGTGTCTGTTTCGGTACTGCAGAAATTGTAATTATTTTTTAGGTGAGCGATTTATAAGCTATTTTGAGAGTTTTTTACAATTCTTTACATAGTCGTTTTTTTGAACTCTCAAGGCAATAAATGTAGTTGTAGGATACAACTTTCATTATTTAAATAACAACTACATTATTATATAATCTCTTTTAGCATATAATATTATAATTTCGTATTTAAAAAAATTAGGACCATGAGCCGGACCGGAACCAGGGCTACTATATATACGCATAACATGTTATTGATACACTTGCTGTCAAACTTTTTTGTGACAAAAAAAAATATTATAGGTCAAATCTTCTAGTCAACAAAGGGTGGTTCCTTTGCTATTTTTTTAAAAAAAATTGTTGACGAAGACACCTTAATTGGAAATGTTCCTTGGCATACATATGTCAAAACAATTCATTATAATTCTTTTGTTTTACTATTATTATTATCCCATCAAAAAAACCAAGGGGCTTAGCACCTGGTTTTTTCACAAAGTATAAAACTTTGCGCGTTGAATTCATCAAATTAAACACGTATTAAAAAAAACGTAATTACCCAAACTTTTCCAATCAATTTATCTACATGAATCTATACATATATATACATATAAGGCACGGTTAACATTCAACCAAATAGTATAACTAAGCAAGAAAAAGGTTTATTATTGATCATTCGAATTAAACCATTTATTTATTTCCTGTTATTCTTTTAATTTAGTCAGATTTAGTTTACCCCTAACAGCTTAAAGTTGTACCATGGGACGTTGGGTGAAACCTGAGGTTAGTAAATCTTTTCTCTTTCTTTTTTTAATTAAAAAAACTAACACTCTTTAATAATTTTATTAGTTAATAGTTTTTTCAAAGCGATGAAGTGATTAATTAGTTTGATGCTCTCTCCTTCTAAAAATTATTTCATGTTTACTATTCAAGATTTTTGATAACTTTTGTTTGCATGTGTGATTTTTTAAATTATTTCACAAAAAATAGGCATTTAACTACTTATTTGTAAATTTTTTGATGTAGTTTTTAAATATATAAGTTATACTTTGTTTTACTATACTAATATGTAAGTAAAATAATTTTAATATAATGTGATTTTGCACTTGATCGAACTAGGACCATAATTTTAGCTTTAATCTTTAGCTTTAATGTTTTGTTTTGTTTAATACGCCGTATGTCTTTGGTAACAATTTTCACGTTTAGCTCTAGTCTGGAGTATTTAAAATATTCATTTATACAGAAAAATGAAAAGAAAATGAAAACGAAAACATTTTTCTTGTATGGTTATGTTAGAGAGGAAAAAAAAAGTAGACGGAAAAGAAATGAGAAGACAAAATGTACTAAGAGGAAGGAAAACTAAACTCCTACGTAGTATATTTTAATTTGGTGAGAAATTGAGGGAAATTATTTTCTTTTCGTTTCCATCCAGATTCCTTGAACCAGACATGGTGTTAATTAGCGTTTTATAAAAGTTAGTTTCAAATGCTAGTAAGTATTCTCCACGAGTGAACTTCTCTCTTGGTTTGAATGGTAAGAAGTTCACTCTCCAAGATTCATGAGAAAGTTTACTTAGGTTCGAGCCCCAGTAGAGACGGAAGCATTGACTTCTTATACGTCATTACATTGAAAAAATTATAAACAGATATTACATTGTAAACGAACCAAAGAGACTTTAAGATGGAATTAATCTTCTTTAAAAAAAGATTTGTTAATGGAAAAGTGTGATTAAATTTACATTTGTTCGTAAATTGTGGGTGACATATTATGATGCAGGTCTTCCCTCTTTTGGCTCCAATCACATTTGTGGTTGGCTTGTGTGGTTTCCAACTAGCTCGAAACTTGTTGACCAATCCTGAAGTCAGGTAAGCAGACTACCTAATTTATGAAAGAAGTCAAAATGTAGAAAAAAAATTTGTTAGAATTGTTAAAAGGAAACAAAAACTTTTTTAGCCATATATTTTTTACTCCGTTTGTTTCATAATAGATGTCACATTTTGAATAGTATGTAAAATTTTATCATTTTTAAAATTATTTTTATTACAGATTGGTATAAAAATAAAAATACTCTATATAAATTATACGGAGTAATATTTAAAAGTACATAAAAAATCTAAAAAACCAGAGGTAACTAGAATATTTTATTTTATCGAATATCAATGAAAGAATAAAATAGTTATTATGAGACGATAATAGTAAAACCGATATTTATTTTGGGACGGGAGAATATAAAAAAAAATTAAGTGTTTTTGAGACGGATGAAAAAAATATTTTTAAAAATAATAATTATTTAGGTGCACATAGAATCTATAATTTTTTTATAAGATTTTGATTAAGATCATGCCCTAAATTAATTTAAACTTTTGTACTCTAATAAGTAGACTCTCTCAACAAATTTGAACTTTTTTTTATTTAAAATTTTAAGCAAATTTATATCCGAAAAAAGATCTCATTTGATTGAAATTGAAATGCGTAGGGTGAACAAAGCTCACCGGACGACGGCGGTGCTGGAGAACCAAAAGGAGGGGGAGAAGTACGCAGAGCACAGCTTCCGCCAATTTCTCCGTACTCGCCGCCCGGAAGTCATGCCGGCGATCAACCGTTTCTTCTCCGACAGGCCCTGAACTGCAGATTACTATTCGTTCTTGTTTCATCTCCCAAGCAAATATTTTTTTCCTCTTTTTTTTCAATAATTGTTTGTAACGGGGTACAATGTAATATCAATTTTTTTATATGCAATACTAATTCTTATTAGTGAAAAGGGCGTCACAATTTAATCAACAATTTTTTAGATGTTTTTAAATACTCCTTATAAATTACTCTCTTCGTTCTTTAAAAAGTCAAAATTAAAAAGATTTTGTAGGATGAATAAAGTTTGTATTTTGGTGTTTAGATTGTTTATTTTGTGAAATCTCTTTTAATTCAATTCTACGTAGTTAAAACTAACTCCGGTAAGTTATATGTTTACTCCTGCAATCTAGTTTTAATCTTTTTATTTGACTTTTTTAAATCAAAGTTTGTAATAACATCATAGATGGAAGAAAAAAACTATAGAGAAAATATCAAAATAAAAGCTTCATATTTTTATTTCTGAAATAGAAGTTTGCACAATTACACTGTGATAATGTGGCACTGCGCATGAATATTTTATAATTATTTTTAGCATTATGTATTAACATGATTGGCATTGCATATGCATTTTAACACTTATTTTGGGAATAAAAATATAGAAATTCTATTTTGGTATATTTTTTATGTATACGTAGTCCTTTGTAAATAATGTTACTCAAATAATGATTAATTAAAGGATATTTATATATTTCTATCATCTAAATTTAAGGCATATTTTTAAAATTTTTATTTTTATACAATCAGGTGTAAAATCAAAATAATATACTGACTATATATAATACATGAATTATGAAAAACCTATAAAAGAATTTTTAAAATTCGAATCAAATACACATCTTTTATTAGAAAAAAACATTTTGGGAAAGCATTTCATTAGAAATGATCAATTTAAGAAGTATTCCAAATTTAGCTCATAAAAAATACCAAAATACTCCCCAACTAATCATCATTTACGAAGGACTATCTAGAGAATAAATTTGAATTATAGAGGACCACATAAATAAATAAAAGGTTAAACTCCACTATTGGTCCTTCAACTTTATCAGTTGTGCACGACTGGTCTTTCAAGTTTTAAAAGTCCATAAAGAGTCCTTCAACTTTATGAGTTATGCACGATTGACTCTTCAAGTTTCAAAAGTTCATAAGTGGTTATTCAAGTACATGTTACCCCTCGAGATGAGGTTCTTTTGAGGGTAAACATTGAAAGCTAAATAGAATACTAGCTCCATATAATACAAAGTAATCGTATGTACCTAGTGAATTTATTCATATTATGTGGAACTAGTATTCTTTTTAGCTTATTATGAATTGATAATTATCACTCGATTAAAATGTTTAGATTTGAAACACACACAAATACATATGTGTGTGTGTAAAATATTACTCCCTCCGTTCCACAAAACCCTTCCTCTTTCGTTTTTTTTTTGCTTTTCACAAAACACTTCCACTTTCTATTAAAAAACCATTTTTACCCCTACTTTTTCATACCCTACTTATCACATCATACTTTTTCACTAATAACCAAACTATCACATCTTACTTTTTCTCATCACATCAGGGTCAAAATTGGAAGTTCAACCAAAATTACACTTTCCTTATTTTTCCTTAAAGTCAAAGCCGAAAAGATTTTCTGGAACGAGGGAGTAGAATTTTTAAAAATCTTAAAGTAAATTTCAAATAATGTGAGACTTGCAAGTTTTTCCTAAAAACTTGAAGATATTTTATATTATATTTCAAATAATGTGAAACTTGCAAGTTTTTCCTTAAAAAACTTGAGGATATCCTAGATTATATTTCAAATAATGTCAGACATAAGGTTATTATTTGAAAATCAAGAATAAGAGATGTAAGGGCTGTTTGTTTCAGACTCTTAATGGTTTAGATGTCTGAATAATTCAACACTTAATGGTTCAGACGGTTTGTTTCATCCTCTTAATCGTTCAGATGTCTGAATAGTTAAAACATTTGCCTCTGAATGGTTAATTATTATATAGAGTTTGAATGGTTAAGACCTCTTATCTGAATTGATCAGACATTTGTCTCTAAATAGTTAAGCAATATATTAGCTCTTAATGTTTCAGACCTCTTACTGGTCTAGTACTTAATGATTCAAATCTCTTACTAGTTCAGCACTTATCTATTCAGAAGTTACCAACCAATCTCGTAGTGTAATTTTTGAGGAAAGAAGAATATAAATACACACGCTTCCACGCCCGCACACTCCACGGCGCTTCCCTCGCGTGTTCGTTTCACCCCCCCCNTTCTCTTCATCATCGTCGTCACTAGATTTGCATTATCATGGTTTTGGGGGTTTACTCAAATCTCAATCCATTTCTCGTTTTCACCATCATTACCATATCATCATTATCCCCAAACCTTGCAATAAGCCAGCAGGTAAATATATAATTAATATTCTTCTTTATTTTTACAGTATTTATTTGGTATAAGAATTTGCAAATTGTTAATCAATTAATTAATGACTGGGTATAGTAAATATTTTTCTTCTTTGATTTGATTTGTTTTGCAAAAAAATGGAGATTGGGGATAAGTGTTCATCATCAGATGAAGGGGGGTGTGGAGAAGGGCTGTATTGCTTGTCATGCACTGTTGGGTTATCTGGGCATCGATGTGTCCGATCCTCAGCCACTCATATCTTCAACCTACTCGTACGTCTCTTTTCTTTTCATTCATTACTTCAATCTCTCTCATTTATTTACCTCTGTCCCGCTATATTCGTCCACTTTTGATTTTGAGAATTGTTCATCTTAGTACTTTGACTCATCAAATTCTCTCAATATTTAATCCTAAATATAGTCATGTGTAATCTTGTTTGATTAGTCTTAACATAAATATTATTAATATATAATTTCTACCGAGTATAATTTTTTAATATACAAATTACAAGATAAAATGGATTAAAGAAGTGCATTAGATGATGTACAAAAATGAAAGTGCACAAATACTATGAGACGGATGGAGTAAGAGATAAAATTCACCTTGTCTGTCTAGAAAAAAATGTTACACATAAATTAAGAATGGAGTATTATAATTTACTTCCTATGTCCCTAGAAGGTTTCCTTTATTTACTTTTTAGGAAATTAAGAAAGATATATTTTTGTAGTGACTTTTCAAAAATATTCTTGATTGCATGAATAAAAATAAAATGTGATAATTGATTATTAATAAAAAAAGTATAATCTGATTGATAGATTATGAAAAAGTAATGGGTAAAAATAGTTTTTTAATAGATAAGATATCATCTTTTGGGACAACAAAAAAATGAAAGAGGAATATTTTTAAGGACGGAGGGAGTATTTCACAATTTTTTTAAAAACAGATGAACCTGATCTTCGAGAGTCCTATATATACTAATTGTAACCTACTTATAACATCACACTTTATCACTATATATTTACCTATCACATCTATTTTATCCATCACATGCAAGGGTGTTTTTGGAAATTGAAACTAGAATACACTTTCTTTAAATCTTTTAAAAATTCAAATTAGAAAAATTTTGTAGGACGAATTGAATGAAGTAATTAATAATATTAGTAATAGTGATAATAATAATAATAAATTCATTTTTGATTAATATATCCATGTTGGCTGTATATGGACATGCAGAATAATTCTCTACCGTTCAACAAATATGCGTTCTTGACAACCCATAACGCATTCTCCATTAATGGCGACCCCCCTTCACACACCGGAGTTCCCAATGTTGCCCCTAGAAATCAAGAAGACGACGTCGCTCACCAGCTCAATGTATGATCCATATATACCACCACTAGCTACATTATTCATATTCTGATTTTATCCATTTTATATTAAAAAAAGCACTTATAATTTGATTTTTTAGCCAAACTACTACTTCCTCCATTCAATTAAATCATTCCCATTATGACTTTGGGCCAAAATAAGAAAAGTGTAACTTTGGTTCACTTTCCAATTTTTCCCCTGATGTGATGGATAAAAGTAAAATATGATAATTTGGTTATTACTGAAAAAGTATGATGTGATACATAAGGTACGAAAAAATATAGATAAAAGTGACTTTTTAATAGATTATGGAAGTGTTTTAGGGAATTAGAAAAATATGAAAGATAAAAGATTTAATCGAACGGCGTGAGTACTTACATTGCCTAAAAGTTCGGGGAAAAGTATTCGAGTATTTATCATAATTTTATTTCGAACTATAATTTTAAAATATCAAATTTAAATAGCAGCTACGGAGTACTCCGTATTTATTTAGAATTGCATTTATCAGCAGTCAACTTGTATAGCATTTAAAAAACTCACTTTTACATAATTTATCTATCACATCTAACTTTTACCCATCATATCTAGGTTATTTTTGAAAAGTCAACATAAAATTATTTCTCACTTAAATTTCTTAAAAGGCAAAACTAGAAAATCTTTATGGGACGAAAAGTATTTAATTTCGAGAAAATTGCATGAAAAAGCAGGACCTTACATACCCATTTTTCTATACCTATTTCTAGCACGGAATTTATTTTATATCAATCAAATGCACACATTTATTTCTTTGCCAATTTTAGGCATGCCATTTATTTCCATGCCATATTTCTTCAACAATGCATTTATATATACTCTCTCCGTCCAAGATCTCTTATTCGTTGTCCCATTATAAGCCATCAAGTTTTGGATTGGTTATATTAATAACTTAAATTTAAAGATTTCACATTGGTTCTATTAAACTTTTTATGTTGTTTTAATTTGATGAATCTAAAATACTGAGTATTTCTACCAATTTTTTATAATCCATTTTCTTATAAAGAGGAGTTGGAGAAGAAAAGAGAGCACGAATTAAAGTTGTATATTTAATTCACTAAAAGTAAATTAAAGTTTGTGCCAGAAATAGAAAAAATGATTAAAGATAATGTTTTTTCGTGCAATTTTTCCTTTAAACAATAAAAGACACAGTTATTACTGATCTAAGCATATAAGTTCTTACCATATTATACATATGCCCGTTGTAACGTTTTAGTATATAAGTGTTCCATTCCAAAATAAAAGACAATTATTTAATCAATTTTTTAATATGTTTTCGTAGTTTGATTAAACACGAGTGCTTTTATGGTGTACCTTGGATGCATAATATTTTTGTGGACATTCTTACATAAAAAAACTATTTTTTAAAAAAAAAAATTAATACTTATTTAAGTAGTAATGAAATACTTATTTTGTTCATATGTAGGTTTATGGTGGATCTAAACATATTATAAAATTAAAATAAGTAACTTAATAGAGTATTAACAATTAATCATTATATATAGTGTGTCTTTTTTTTTTTTTTTGAATTTCTACGTTAATGAGGTTGTTAATTAATTGATATGATCAGAATGGAGTACGTGGGTTAATGCTTGACGTGTACGACTTCAAAGGAGATGTTTGGTTGTGCCATTCCTTTGGTGGCCACTGCCATGACTACACTGCTTTTGTACGTTTTCTTCTCTTCTCCTCCCACCTAATTATTTCATTTAATTCTTTATTTATATATATACAAATAATACATTTTAAAGTTATGTTCCACAATGAATCTATTAATATCAAATTTATATGAAAACTCAATATATGTTTTCCGTAATATGAAGTGAAAGTTTAAAAATTTTGAACAAGAAAATCAAAATCGGAAGTTAAATTTAGAATGGAGATAGTAACGTTTTTTTCATCTGGTATTAACCATAATAATATCATTTTAATTAAACAATAAAGGGGCCAGCATTAGACACGTTGAAGCAAATAGAAGCCTTCTTATCAGCAAATCCGTCGGAAATAATCACAATAATATTGGAGGATTACGTGAGGGCCCCCAATGGGCTGACCAAGGTTTTCACCGACGCCGGCCTGATGAAGTACTGGTTCCCGGCGTCAAGTATGCCCAGAGGCGGCGGCGATTGGCCGCCGGTGAGGGACATGGTGGCCAAAAACCACCGCCTACTCGTCTTCACTTCTGTCAGAGCTAAGGAACAGAGTGAGGGGATTGCTTACCAGTGGAACTACATGGTCGAAAACCAATGTATGTTTCCTTCAAACTTAATCCAACTCTTCCCTCCACAATTTTCTTTCTCATTTTAACTTTACACACTTATTTTAAAAATTTAAAAAATGTAAATAAAATTATGTTGATTTTTTTATTTGAAGGGCGGTACCCATGATATTGCTAGATATTGCTTAAAAATATCATGGGATTAACCGAGAACATTACAGTTCTCTGTCGAATAAATTAAAAGAAGGTAGCTTAAATAAGAGAAAATGCAACAAAAGTATTAAAATAGAAGTTATATATTTTAATTCTCAAAATAAAATTGTATACTATTATAATGTGACACAGTATATGAACATTTTAAAATATATTTTGGTAATATATAGTCAAATTGGTAGTTAAATGCATTTTTGAAATATTTTTATTTTCGAGAATAAAAATAAGAAACTCTTATTTTGAAATATTTTCAATGGTTTACTCATATTTTTTTCAAAAAATTAACTATTCATGTTCTCCTTAACCCCCAGGCCCCACCCCTCTTAAACTTCCCACCCCTACTTGACCCAGAGCCACCTCACGCCCTCTTCAATTACGCCTCACAAATTTTGTTGACTTTATAGTCAAATTTTAACTCCAAGGTCAACAAAATTTGTGGGGATGTAATTGAAGTAAGTGAAGTATGAGTTCGGGTCGGACCAAGCTGGGAAGTTTGCTTGTAAACTAGGTGGCAGGTACCGTCAAGCTTTCAAACTGAGTACCATATGGTCTCCGGGTCATCCCATGATATTGATCCCAATGTCACGGGAACCAAGTCGTTTGATGTGGTAGAATAAAGTAAATATTGTTGCTAAAAATAAGTGTATAATGACATATTCATTAAAAACGTTTTGCCAAAATAGAATATAAAAATGAAATTTATGGACAATTCAAAAAAGAAAGTTGCAAAAAAATTAATGGACGAAAGGAGTATGTTACTCCCACCGTCCCGATTTAAAAAAATTTACGAGTTACACTTTTTTAAATTTTTTGTAAAAATAAAGATTTGTAACATTTTATTGAACCAATTAAAAAATGAGACAATTAATTCTGAATAGATAAAATATTTGTGATTGTCATGTCTCAACTAAAATCTGAGTTTGTCATACGAATAAAATATTTAAATTTTTCTATTAATATTTCATAATATTTTTTGATAATATATTTTGGTATTATTAACTCTATACTGATATAAAAACATTGGGTCCAATTTTTAATAAACATGGTATGTTTATTTGTGCAGACGGAGATGGGGGAATGAAGAGCGGACAGTGTCCGAACCGGGGCGAGTCATCCCCTCTAAACGACACCACTAAATCACTGGTTCTAATGAACTTCTTTGGGTCGGCCGCTTTTGAGCCCGCTGCTTGCCTACAAAACTCAGGCCCACTTATGGACATGTTGGACACATGCCATGCTGCTGCTGCCAATCGTTGGCCCAATTTCTTGGCTGTTGATTTTTATAAGGTAAAAAATTGTTACATTTTGTTTAAGGAAAGGTATAAAAATAAAAATAAAAATTATATATTTAAAAATTACGTCAAGATTCACAAGAGTATTTTATTCATTTAACCAAATGATTCATGAACACGTACACAAACAAAGTTTTCGTAATTTTTGAATAGTGAACTGTTATATTCTTTTTCTTTTTGGGATAGAGGAGTATACTCTAACGTTGAAACTTTTTACTGTAGAATTTAAGATTTTAGAATAATTCAAGATTATATATCGATTGCAAACACACCCCGAAATCAAGGATTAGTCTAAACTAATAACTCTCTTGTCGTGATATTATAAACAATTGTTCTTTTGTGTACATAAGATCCACTTGAAATGCATACTTTTTTCAAATTTTTCCTGTGCTGACAAGTGGATGTTTTCTTTTTTTACAAAAGCTCCAATCTTTTATGATTTCAATGCACTAGGATTCATAAAATAATGTGAACTTTAGGACCACGTAATAATTTGCCTATAATAAAAAGGTATTGAAATTTTTTACATGGTAATTGATGCAGAGGAGTGAAGGAGGAGGAGCATTTCAAGCAGTGGACAAGCTCAATGGGGAGCTATTGTGTGGGAAAGATGATGTCAACTCTTGTGTTAGACTCTGATTATTTGCTCTTCCTTTTCTACTTTTGTCCCCATAGACTTTTTTTTTTTTGTATCAAGAATAAAAAAAGGTCAAAAGTATTTTAGAAGGAATATGGATTTAAAGCTTGGGCCAATATTTTGAGTATTAAGAGTTAGGGCTTGAGTCCAATAGTTTACATTTAATAGAGCCCAAATGCAATGTAAATTGGATGAAGTGGGTGAGACTTAGACAATATGTGAGAAGACTTAAGTTGCAAATTTTGAAGTGTGATGGATAGTGCAAATTTAATGATGTCAAATTTAATGGGTGATGGTCATAATATGGCACTCAAAATGATTTTTCAAATGGTGTTTTATTCTCTCTATTTTTTTAAATATATGAAGTATATAATTAATGTAAAAAAACAATCTAGCCTGAGATGATATGATTCAAGTTATATTCAAATAAAAGTAAGCAATAAAAATAAGTTGAAATGAACATATTCATATAAAACAATCTAGAATCTTGCTTCAACCCCCTTCCACACTTATCTATATCACAATCCCATGAAATATGTGAGGTGTTTGGCTAGAGTTCTAGCCTCACATGAGTGGCCCAAACAGGATACGGGAAGTCAAAATATTTGGGCCTTCAGGTCCAGTGCGGTGATCAAGCCTGCCATTTGAGTTGTCATGCCAAGCTAGGATTGTATTGGTCACATCGCAAATCATGGCTCGGCTCATTTTATTTACTCGTGCAATTAATTGAAAAAAAAATCACTAATATTATTTCTTTCATGTCTCTTCCTTCTTGAAAATACCTTCTATTTTGACCAAGTGGCAAAATAACAAAGTACTCCATATTAAATTGTACTTGATTTCAATTTTTACTCTTGATTTGATGAATTGATTATTGGAGAAAAAGTATAATGTGATAAGTAGGGTAAGAAAAAAGAGGGATAAAAGCATTTTTTTTAAATATAAAGCAAAAGTGTTTTGGTGGAAGAGAAAAAATTAAAGAGAAAGCATATTCCAAAACGGAGGGAGAACATCATTATTGATCAATTAAGCTACGTGTGATGGTAATATGATTCGGAAGTTTGCAAGAATACTTCAAACTTGTTCTTTTTTACTTATTCATTTTCACATACATTTTACTTATTTTTATTATAATTAGATTAAATCATACTCCCTCCGTCCTAAAACTTTCTTCCCACTTTTCTTTTTTTTTCGTTCTAAAACTACTTTCCCATTAGAAAAAAAAGATGACAAATGACATTAATACCCTCATGTATTTACACCAATTATCTTCTAACTCTATATTTTGATTGATTGCAAAAAAAAATTTCAAAAAATCTTTTTTAAAGAGGGTAAAATTTGAAGTCAAAGCCAAAAATTAAAAATGGGGAAAAGTCAAACTGGAAGAAAGAATTAGGACGGAAGGAGTATCATATAAGAAATAACTTCAAATATAATGCTAATCAAATCAGATCAACCTGATAAGCTAGAGAAAATAAGCCCTGCCTCCCTAGATAGTTAGGCGAAATGAGTAAATATAGTGTTGCAAAATGTAACATTGAATGCGACGCCGTGGGCAGGCACGTGTGATCCAACCTGCTGGCCAATGCATGCCTACTACGAACGTGTGTGCTCATGCGGGCTTTGTTCTGTGTTTTGTGTTTGTGCAGAGATTTATTTATTTAATTGGGTAGGAAAATGAGTGATTAAAGAAAAAGTGTTTGGTCAAAGTCATACCTTCCCCAGTCACGAGACTGCCATGCACCCACTACATACACGTCTCCATCTCCCTATGTACCACCTCAATTCTGTTACGGAGTATTAATCTAGTTTTAACTTTTTTTCTGTGAACATAGACATTATGGATTGATTCTCTAGGGTGTCTTTTTTCGCCCTATATATAATTTTTCATAAATACAGCACTTAAGGAAAATTGTGAATTTCTAAATACAATTAAAGTTTTTGTATTGCACGATAAAGAAAAAAATGATACGGAGAATAATTCCATATGCTATTAGCTACTCTTCAAGATTTATGAGAAAGCTCGTCTACATTTACTCTGTATTTTTTAGCAAATTAAAAATGGAGTTAGTTATGTTCGAAGCAATGAAAAATAATTTTATTTTTGTGACCGTAGTTAAAAAAATAAGATATTCTAAGTTTTCTATGTACCCAATTAAGGGTATCAAGCCACAAGTGGTTCAAAACAAGATTGGTAATGTTAACAAGATAAATCTTTAAGACGTGTCATCAATGAAAATATTTTCTTAAATATGGAGTATTTTTTATCTATCCTATTATAACCAACAAGAGTTACAGGATAAAACTTTTGGGAGAAAATATTCTTTATGGTGTAACTTTGGGATACAGTTTTTATTAGTGTAAGTGTAGCATGGTTATTATTTTAATCTTCAACATTTATAGTCAAACTGGTATCCCATGCACGGCGGCAGCCGTATTAACTGCGACGTATCACTTTCTGCGGCTTTATTACTTCCTTTTGCCCACTTTTACTTAATTGCCTCTGTGGAATCTTTTTTTATGATCTCCTTTTGTCGGCCCGTCGCACATCCATCCAACGTATACATTTAAATTTGCTTTATACGTGTTTGTGAGTGTTATGGAGTCGGGAAAAGAAGAAAATACCACGGGATAAACCCACTTGAGTTCAGCCAACTGTACTCGCAGAGAATTATGTTAAATATATATAGAGTTTTAGTTAGTACTTATCGCAGACTCTACTTTCTGTTAGATGCAATCAAAGTCTAATTTACCTTCTATCTCTGGCCAAGTTTGAGGGACCACATGGGGATGCGAGTCTCATCTTTTTGTTATACTCCGATTGGCCGATTTGGTTTGACTTAGAAGTTATAGTTGGAACAATGCGGGATGGGATGATTGCGAATATCTGTAAGAAAATATGGTTAAAGCTCCACTCTAAGAAAACTATGGTTAAAGTTGGGACAGATTTATTTTTTTTAAAAAAATGTTTTTTTTTAAATTAAGAGTTATTAGTGATCAATATTTCAATTTTGGTATTAATCTCATCATGGCCAATGTTGGATGTGTCAATGTGTGGATAGGAGTAAATTGGAGAGATACATAAGAGAGAAGGAATAGGCAGAAGAATTGAATTGAAGGATATGCTTGAATTGGTCAGACTGGTTGCTGGGTGCCTGTGCCTGTTATAAATACTCCGTATAAAGATGGAGGAGTGTATTAAATTAAATGTGCACGCGTGGGCTTATTTATTTTGGAGAATGCTAAAGAGGCACCACGTGTGCCTCCAAGCCTGCCACCCAATATATTTTTTTTTTTTTCAATTTCCCTTTTTTCTTAGTCTTTTCATCTCCTCTCTTCTTCCCCAAAATCCCCCCTTTTCATCTCCCTTTTTTCGGCAACTCCAATTCGCCGGCATAGCAGGAATTGCAGTGCCAGACAACTCCAATTCGGACAACTCCAGCGCCGGCAGCCCCACCCCTCCAGCAGCGCCGGCAGCCCCACCCCTCCAAAGAGGTACTGACGCTAACTTTCCTTTCCTTGATCTCTTTCTAAATCTATCTATTTCTAAAATTGATATAAACCCTAGGGTGTTCGGATCTTGAATTTTATTCTACATTGGAAATTTAGCATCTTTAGCAAATACTCCATAGTAATTAATAATTTTCGGACAGTTTCGAAGTATCAAAGACCATATGCCCTAATTATGGTTTAAAAAGTAATAATCATGGACCGTTCAAGGATCCAGTTTATGATATACTCAGGATTTACTTCTTTTTTTAAAAAAATTGATTTCTTCAAAACTTAGCAGAAGAAAGCAACCAGGGGAACCAAGTTCACAGACGATTAAGATCTGTCATTTGAACTTCATATAACATTATTGTCTGTGAAAGATGTCTACTTGTTATTTTTGCTTACTTTCGGTGAATTGTATGTCATAGACGATTAACTTCTGTTTATTGAACTTCATATATGATTATTTTTTTTGTAGATATTTAACTTGTGTTAATTGAACTTCATTTCAGACGATGTCTTTGTTGCTGTATGGCAATTGTGGAGTGATGGTGCTACCATTAAGCACGGACTTCAGATATGAACACATAGTTGATTTCCGAAGTCAATTTGCAGCTAGGTTATGGCGTGGAAGGAAAACAACCAATATTTAGCTTTTTTACTTTACAATTTTANAGATCTGTCATTTGAACTTCATATAACATTATTGTCTGTGAAAGATGTCTACTTGTTATTTTTGCTTACTTTCTGTGAATTGTATGTCATAGACGATTAACTTCTGTTTATTGAACTTCATATATGATTATTTTTTTTGTAGATATTTAACTTGTGTTAATTGAACTTCATTTCAGACGATGTCTTTGTTGCTGTATGGCAATTGTGGAGTGATGGTGCTACCATTAAGCACGGACTTCAGATATGAACACATAGTTGATTTCCGAAGTCAATTTGCAGCTAGGTTATGGCGTGGAAGGAAAACAACCAATATTTAGCTTTTTTACTTTACAATTTTAGAGGTCTTTAATTTTCTGAAACTCTTTGTAATGGTTTTTGTGCTTTGTAATGTATTTTTTGGGAAAACACTTTAGATTTTTTTGAAAGCTTTGTAATGGGGCTTTTATCATCATGAATTTCTACGTGTTAATGCACAATTTGTTAATGTGTGTGATGACTGATTTACATTAGTTTATGACTGAATTACAGATTTACTTTCAGAGACCTCACAGATAATAACTGTTTATTTTACCCATTACACAGAGTTTTAATGTATGTGATGACAGAGTTACATAACATTATGTACATACACCATCTTCAGAATCTTATCACATAAGTGGGGGTCTTGTAAATGTAAAAGGAAAATTAAAACACATACATTAGATTTCATGGTGCTCACATGGAATAACTGTCTATGTCACACACTTCACAAAGAATTAATGTATGTGAAGACAGAGTTACATCAGGTTTACATCAGTTTATGTGCAGAGAAAGTTATCATATCTGTTACATAATTTACACAAAAAGCAAAAAGCAAAAAACTATGTGATTTACAGTTCCCATGCTCATTCCAAAAAATGAGAGTAAAGTTCTAGATCTGAAGCAAAAAGCTATGTGATTTATAGTTCCCATTGTTAATGTCATCTGTGTTCTGTCTGATCTCACCAATCGCCTGTTCTTGCCCTTTGAAACAAAGGATCGTTAAGAAACAAATCTGGTTCAAAAGCTGCAAAAAACATTACCTTTAATA